CCAGTGGACACCTATTATGTACCAGGCCTGCACGCGTGCCCGAACAGAGGCTGGCAACCGCTGGAAGCCCTGGACACATGGCTGGGCGTTGCCCTGGACAGAATGGACACGAGCGCTGAGATGCGACCCCAGGGCTTCGTGAGCATGTGAGCACGGCGTGAGGATGTGGGCACAGCGGCAGCGGGGAGGCACGGAGTCGCAGCACCCCAGAGTGTGAACGCCAGGGACAGACAGATGGCGGCTTGCAGGAAGCCCTGCTGATGGGTGAACAAGCCCCACGAGGTGGCAGCTGCCTGATGGGCACAGGATGCCCACACTCTGCTCCATCACTGGGTCCCATCCCTCCTTCTCCGGTGGGAACACGGGTGCCTGGCCTCTGACCCCACACTACCCCACCCCCAGGATGCTCTTCTGTGCCAGGCCAAGCCTGGAGGTTTTACCAAGTCATCTCACTTCATCCTCACTCACAGTGACACACTGCCAGCCCCCTCCTCCACGGTGCCAGGTGAGACCACTGAGGCTCGCTTAGGCACAGGCACGGCAGTGCATTGATCTCCCAACCAATGTGCTTGTTATACCACAAAACGCTCTAGGCAGGGCCCAGCACCTGAGAGGCCTGGGAGAGCAGGTACATGAGGACACAGCATCCTGAAGTCAGCACCTACATCCTCAGATAGGCCCAGGCCTCCCTGCAGGGTTTCGGGTGGGAGGGGCGTGAGTGGGGATGGGCCGAGGTCCCGTGGGAGGTAGCAATTACCCTTTCCATCTCTGCCAGGTGAGCTCTTTGTTTATTCAACATTCATTTGCTCTGACACCAACCTGGTAAAGGCAAATGAGAAGGGATAGAGCCTCTGTGCTTCCTGTCCTCCTGGTTTCACAGTCTGGAAGGCGAGACAGATGTATAACCAGGTGGGCAGATGAATGGAGGAGGGATGGCCAGGTAGGGCTTCCTGGAGGAAGTGCCCTTTGCTCGTGTTTGGAATTATGACTAGGACTTGGGCAAGCAAAACGGGATTGGAGTGTCACAGACTAGAACCCAAGTCTGAAAGGCACCCCTGTGTAGACTGCCTTTATCCTTCAGTCTTCCCAATGAAAGGAAGGCTTTGAGGAAGTCTGGGAAATTTAGGCTGGAGCGATAGCACAGTGGGTAGGGCTTTTGCCTTGCACGAGGCAGACCTGGGCTGACCCCGGCTCGCTCTCGGAGAGCCGGGAAAGCTACTGGGAGTATCGCGCCCGCACAGCAGAGCCTTGCAAGCTCCCCGTGATGTATTCGATATGCCAAAAACAGTAACAAGAAGTCTCACAATAGAGACGTTACTGGTACCCACTAGAGCAAATCGATGAACAAGGGGAGGACATTATGAGTGGAACAGCTTGGGACTGGCATATGTCCTGTGGAGCACTCACAGAGGTCATTAATTAATCAAACAACCCCATATAATCCAAACTCCCTAAGCAGGTGGCCCCCACCACTCATTCTTTTTGTATCTAGAACCTTCTACGTGCTAGAAGTTGCAAGTGAACCTAATAGCGACCTGTCTCGCAGAAACCACTTTGTATATGCATCTCTGGAGGGATTGCCTGGCACATAGGTGCTCAGAAAACATCCGGTTGCAACCCTTCTCATCCGGTGGGTTGCAACTAGACCGATGTGGGGAGTGGAGGGAAGAATGCTGGGCATGTGGAGTCAGGGGTGGGAAGCCTGGGGTCAAACGGTCCGAGGCAGGACGTCTGAATATTCCAAAAAGTCTCCCTGCTGCGGAACGACGCCCAACACCATATGGACCTGCAAGTCCGGCGTCCAGCGAGCCAGGGAGCGGATACATGGCAGAGGCGGGTCCCAGCCACCGCGGGGGCCCCTCTCTGGGCGCTGCCGTTCGCGTCATCAAGGCGACCTCTAGCGGTCGCCGCGGTGACTACCGCCTGGCGCCTCTGGTGGCCACGTGATGGTCCCGACAGGGCTGGAGGGGTTCAATGGGGGCTCTGCTGCCAGTCAGACAACCCCCTCCCCCCCGACCTCGCCAGGAGGTGGGAGGGTGGAGAGAGGTGCCCCCAGAGTGCTGCCCTCCAAGGATCCAAGACAACCTCCCAAAGCTGCCTCCATCTGTTCCCTGTGTCTGCACTGCCCAGGGGATGGTGTTTATGGTCCCCTTCCTAATTCTGGTTTCTGGGGCTCTCATACAGCTTTATCGACCATTACAACCTGTGTGATATCAGGCAAGTAATTTATCTCAGTTCCTTGCTCCCTGATAAGCGCACCTGTAAAAACGACAGGATTTGATATTCAGTACCTCCCAACAGTAAGTCTATCGGCTTTTATCTTTTCCTTTTCTTTGATCATGTTTTCTTCAATTTGTGTGTTTATTTTGTATTTCTGCGGCTGGAGAGATAACTCAACGGCTAGAGCTCACACTTTGCCATGCACAAGGCCCTGAGCTGGATCCCAGCCCTACACCCCCACACCAGGCTTTCAGGGTAGAGCAAGGCCCCTGCTGTGAGGGCCAGTGTGACTGCTGGGTGACCCGGGTTTCCCAAGCACCCCAGGGGTGGCCTCGCTAGATCTATTGTAATTTAAAAATAAATATGCTCTTGTGATGGCCCTTTTCTTACTTAGATTTTTGCATTGAAATCCAATAGTTTTGAGCACAAACTGCCAGGTCATCAAATTGTCCCTAGATTGATCTCCCAGTAGAAATCTCTGTGATTTGGGGCTGGAGCAATAGCACAGCGGGTAGGCATTTGCCTTGCACGTGGCCAACCCAGGTTCAATTCCCAGCATCCCATATTTCTCGGGATGGGGCTGGGCAGGTTCCCCTGCCTTCCAGATAGGCCCAGGCACCAGACATCCTTAACATATATCCGGGCCCGGCTCACAGCTCCTGTGATCACACATGCGACCCCCACACAGCCTCAGCCAGGTTCCTCCAAGGCCTGCCTTGCCCACTCAGTGGTTCTGTGCAGGTGGTCTTTATCGGGGCTGAAGTGAGGCCCTCTGCCAAGGTTTTATTCTCCTCTGTGTCACCCACCCAGGGTTCTGCAGAAGCTTGGCCTTAGCGGTGTCCCTGCCAACAGGGAGAGGCAGCCTGGTACCTTGGGGAGCCGGCAGTCCGAGCCGAGTGAGTGGGCTAGAAATAGCTCCCAGTCTCTTTCCTCTTTGAGCTTTGTCCTGGGGAGATAAGCCAATCACAAATGTGCAACACCCTTGGACGCTGGCCACAGGCCAGTCCTGGGGAGTTCCCACCGCCCGCCTGCCTGCCTGCAAGAACTCTTAAGAGAGAAAGGGTGGGTCGCCCCAAATTCTTGGCACATGAACTGACCTCTGTGGGCTCAGCCGACCCAGACAAAAGCCTTATCACAAAGCAAAAAGGATCCCATTGTGGACAAGATCCCTCCTACCACGTGCTCGGGCAGCATCCTTACGCCAAAGCCAGAGGGGAAAATGGAGCCCAGCCTTGCCCTGATGTGACATTTCCCCTCTCTCTCTGAGTCGTGATTTGGTTTGGTGAAGAGGGGACAAAAATGAGCTAAATAAGACATGTTTCTGGGGGAGAATGTTCATGAGTGGAAGAGTGTCATTCCAGAGCTTCACCCTCTTTCGCTGCTTTTCCCCCTGCTTCCAGCAGGGGGCGCTCATGCCAAAGGGTTCTTAAATTCCCAGCTCTAGTCCCATTTAAAAACGCTTACCAGGGTGGAGGTTGACAAGGAGTGGGTGTTTTGCCATTAACCTTTACTCTGCCCATTCTGAAGGTTACTCAGCTCCCAAGGGAAATCAAATCCCCACGTGCCTGTCTCTTCTAATCCAATGGTGATTTCCCTTTTAAGCCCTAAGACTTGGATATGTGTTGGAAGACCCCAGTGCTCCGGAGGGTCTTAGGAACAGAGACAAGTTAACAGAACGTTTTCTTCTCTCGGCTGCAGAGGAAACCGGAGGCAGGAGAGGCATGGCTTGCAGGGGACAGGGCCTTTCAGGGTGGATGTCCGTGGGGCAGCTGTGGTTTGCCCTACACCAGCCACTCAGGAAGGAGCAACGGCCCAGCCAGACCCAGCAGGAAACGGGCAGCATGAACCAGTGCAAATCGGCAAGGGCTGGCACCTGGCCCGTACAGGGTCAAGTTTCAAAGTTGCCAAGGTGTTTGCACAAACAACAGCTGGTTCCCATAGCAGCGGCCCAGGTGCAGAGGGAGCTGCCTTGTGGTGGCTTCAGCCTTTGGTAGAGGTGTGTGGATTTCGCCCTGAGGAGGGGAGTCTGACTGGAGCGGGGATGGGTGGTGGAAGGGATAGAGGGGTGTGGGAGGTTGGTGGGAGGGTGTACAGCCGCAGGGCTAACCTGGGGCTTGGTCCTAGGGAGCAGAGGCTGGGAACGGTGCATCCAGTCCCCCCCCCAACCCCCCAGGGGGCACGCTGAGAAATGAAGCAACTCCCCAAGGCCTCCCAGTCAGTGACCTGGCCAGTGTGGAAGCCCTAAAGAACATGATGTCAAAGTCCGGGCTATTAAGCCGCCTCCCCAGCACAACCAGTCCGGCAGGCTTGCTTGCGTCCTCTACTCCTCCTCCCCGTACCAGCGATGCTATGTGCAGACTTCTCCTGGCTCAGGGATCACTCCTGGCCATGCTCAGGGCACCCCGGGTAGTGCCAGGGAGAGAACACGGGCCTCACCCACACCAAGCACGTCCCACCATCCTCTGATCTTTATTGCTGGGCTGCAGTCTTGACCCTGCTGGTGCATCCAGAACTCTGCACCAATTCAAGCTGGAGCAAACCTCTCTGGAACTGCCTTGGTTCCTGGGAGCCGAGAGGCTTCCTTCCCGCCACCCCTCACTCTCCAGCCTGGTCTGCCTGGCCTCTGCTGCTGATAAACTTCCACTGAGGCTCCTGGAGAAGCGAGGCTGACCCAGATGAAGAGGCCCGGCTTGCTGTCTGCAGCTCACCTGCCTCCTTCTGGCCCAGACTCACACCTTCTATTCAAAACCGGCAACGCCCAAGAACAGCAGGGGGGCATAAAGGAGCAAACATCGTGTTTAATAAGTTATAAGATACAATTTACACTTGGCATTGGATTCCAGTTGTGCTTCCCTGTTCCGAGTGATGAGGCTTGTGGTCCTTCTCTCGCCAGGTTTCCGGCTGCTCCAGTTTCTGACAAGCGGGCTCTCGTCCATACTCCACCCCCAGTCGCTATCCCCTGGTGAACACCACTCACCTGCTCCCCGTCCTCCCCCCAGAGGCCCCTTCCGCAGCAACCTGTATGGTCTGCTACGTGGCCTGTGCCGGTGAGATCCATGGGAAGGTGCAGAGAATGTGCGGAGGCCATGCCTGTCCAGGGTGCATCCAAACAGCCTCGAGGACGTGAGGTCAGGGCCAGACACTTGTCCCCTGCTCGCGATGCAGCCCGGTTCGCCCTGTATCTGACGTGCCCTTCCTCCCCTACTCCCCCCTCCAGCTCCCTTATTCTTTGCAGGCCGAGGTGGCAGGGACTAATTTCATTCTTTCTTATCGACAAATATTTCCCAGGAAAAAGCAGCCCTGGAGGCTGATTGGGTGGTGCAGGATGCCAGAGGGGCTGATGGGCTCACGAGGGTGGTCACCTATGGCCACTTTCCACAGGCAGGTGAGAGGTATGGGGCTGACAGAGTGCAGGTGGGTTAAAAACAGGGCAAGTGGTGGTTAAACCAACGGACGCCTGGGGAGTGTGGCTGAGCTTCCTCTGACTGAAACCATTTTACAAAAAGGAGTGAAGCCATGGCTGCCAGGAGGACCCCAGGAAGGGACTTTCAAAGGAAACCAGCTGAAGGGGCTCTGGGAACCTGGAGGTAACAAGGTCGGGAGAAGGGTAGGCTGTGTGGGGAAAAGCATGGCGTTAAAACTGGCGGGGTCCACGTCACGGCTGTTCTTCCTCCACTGGGGCACAGCAGAGGAAGCTGGTTCTGAGCCATCTGCCCTTCTACAGGACAAGCCGGCTGATGGGGCGGCCTCCCCACCCCTCCTCAGCCTCGTCCGGGTGGCCGCATAAATCTACTAGCCAGATTCATTTTGGAAAACGTCAGCTTTGCCCCCGTTCTTGCTCCGTTTGCACAAGCTGGTCTGTGCCACCAAGAGTTCTGCCGTGAACGAGATGTGCCAGGGTTCTTCCAGCTCCCGGAGGGGTGGCGTTTCAGAAGAGGCCTCAGCACGCCCCCAAAGAGTCAGGTCCGGGCCTGCCTTCTGGAGCCCCGGAGAACAGCCGTGGTTTCGGGATGGGGTTTCAGACCCACAAGCAGACTGGAGGATTTTTGTATAAAACAAGTTTACAATTAGCGACCAGAGCAACCGCCAGGACTCTGCCCAGGATGTGACGGGAGCCAGCTTAAGGCACCGTGACGCGGAAGGGGCTGCCGGGGATGTGTTCCTCGCCCCACTTCACAGCCAGCAGGTAATCGCCCTTCTCCTTGACGACGTACGTGACGTTGTACTGCTGGTTGCCCACGTGCTTCATGGAGACCTCTTCGCAGGGGGTGGTGGGCCCGTGGACCCCAATCAGCAGCATGTTGGAACCTGGGAGCAGAGCGAGATGATGCAATGAGACTGACCGGTGGGCAGCAGAGGGACAGGAGGGGATGTGGGAGCCAGAGCTGATGACCCCACCGCTGCCTGCCAACGGTCGCTGATGTGGCTGGAAGCTTCAAGAGTTGGGAGAAAGCGGCACGAGACTCATGGTATGGGTTCAGATCCCTGCCTTGCCTCCCTCTTCTAGCTGGCTGACCTCTAGGTCACAGCACACCCCTCTCCTCGCCTGCACCACCCTGTCAGCACTGGGCGATGCACCCTATGGGTCTGCACCACTGAGTATATGGTCCCCAGCGCAGCTGAAGGCTGGTCAGTGCTATACTTCAGTTCTCATTCGTTCTCGTGAGAACTTTAAGGAATGGTCTGTTATCGTGACCCCGTTGTGAAAGAGGGAACTGGCTTTGGAAAGAGATTTAGTAACTTTTCCAGGGTCCAGTGACTCAGATGCTTTGGGCGAGAGGCAAGGAAGGAAGCAAGAGAGGAAGGAAGGAATCTGTACCGGGGAGGAAGTCACGTTTGCATTGACCTGGAGGCCCTTTGAAAGAACCAAGAGGGCAAAGAAAGGAAAATAAATGTCAAATGTGAAGGGCAGGAGGGTCATGACGCCAGTTGCTTGCCAACAGCTGGACTTCCTGCCAGAGCAGGGAGCACAAGGGTCAGGCAGGGTGCAGGCTGCCCCACGCTCCCGACCCCCCTGGCCCACACTCGCACCCACGCCGGCACCTACCAGCTTTGCTGCAGTCCACCAGGAAGGAGCTCTTCTGGCCCACAAAGGCCTTTGACAGCCCTGCCCCCTTGGAGGTGACCTTGCTGGCATCCGAGGAAGCCTTGGGGATGGCGCTGTAGCAGGTCTCTGTGGAGGACCTGGTCACTGACTCTACCAAGATGTACGAGGTCTCCTTGGAGGAGGCGGAGTTCACCAGATGCTGGCCTGGAACACAGAGATGGGGGCAGGGCGTGAGTTGGCTGAACAGAGTCGGGGAAGCAGATACCAGTCAGAAGGGATTATGTATCAGGCTGAAGCCTGGCAGTGCCTCTGTACCCCAATACCTGGAACAGAAAGCCACCACACTCCCCCTGCCCCCACCCTTTGTTGCCATGCCTGGAAGTGAATACATCACTTCCTGTCTCACCCCCCCCCCCCACCTCCGTCCCCCACTACCGAGATCCCACTGTCCAAGCAAGTGGATGAGTCTGGCCTTGGCTAAGAGAGACACCATCCCTTCCACACAGCCACTGCCCCTGTCGCCTCACACCTTTCCTTCTCCCTGAAAGACTGTCTGACCGGTGTGGACATTCTCAACACACGCTCCTAGACAATGGGGCCAGGATGGAGGGCGGAGGTGGTTTTGACTGTTTGGCGTTTCCCCCAGTGTTCTCAAGGCACAGTTTGATAAACTGAACACAGTCTTTGATTAATTTAAAAGTGGAGATTAGAAATGGGGGAATTTTTCAGGCCCTGACCTAGGCAACTATAGAACCATTTTTTTTTTCCCTTGTGGTGAGCTACAGAAACTGACTTTCTCAACTGCATTCCCACAAGTTTGGAACATGCACTTACTCCCCTTGGACATAATTCTTTCTTTCTTTGTGCTCTCGCTCTCTGTCCCTCTCCCTCTCCCTCTCCCTCTCTCTCCACTCTTTCTTTTTTTTTTTGGTTGTTTTTGGGTCAGGCCCTCCCGTTGATCGTCGATTTGCTCGAGCGGGCCCAGTAACGTCTCCATTGGAGACTTTGTTGTTACTGTGTCTGGCATACTGAATACTCTCGGTAGCTTGCCGGGCTCTCCGACACACCTGGCAGTGCTCAGGGCATACCCCTAAATTCTGTGCTCAGAGATCACTCCTGGCAGGTTCAGGGGACCATATGGGATGTTGGGTATTGAACCTGGGTCAGCTGCATGCAATGTAAGTGCCTTACCTGCTGTACTTTTATTCTGGCCCTCCCTCTCTCCCTCCTTCCCTCCCTCCCTCCCTCCCGGTGGTGGGCTCTGAGGACAATATGAGGTGCCAGGGAAACTTGGGTCAGCTACATGCAAGGTAAGCGTTCTGCCCACTATACTACTGCTTCAGTCCCCAAACGATCCACTACTACTTTAGATTCAAGATTCAAAATATAGCGACCTTTCTGCCATCACTGGAAGTGTCTCCCATGGACCTGTGCTATTGCTCATCAGACAAGTCCGGCCCCGAGGGAGGGGGGAGAGGGGAGAAAAACTCAATAGGTGCTTTGTCAGTACCTGTCACCTTGGCCTTGAAGGGACTGCCTGCAACGTGGGTGGGCCCCCCGTATTTGACAGCAATCTGGTAGTTTCCAGGTGCCAGGGGGGTGTACATGACTTTGTATCCTTCGGGGACTTCCTGGCAATCCATTTTCACCTTGGATGGGCCTTCGATGGTGACAGATAATGTGCCAGTCCCTGCTCGGTTGGTGTTGATGAAAAACTCAGACTGGACGCCTAGGAGGGAGAAGAGGAGATGCCACATGAGCGGTTTGGAGCCACGAGGGGTGTGTGTGGGGCTGGGGGCACTTTTCCAGTGAGGGAGGCACTGGCAGATTCCCTTCTGGAGTGGGGGTCACTGTGATGGAGGGGGACCACGGTGCCAGCTCAGACTCTGGGCACGGAGAGATCCAGGCCCAAGCAGGGGTGTGGCTGGTGTTTCTCCAAGAGCACCAACCGCCTGGCTGCCCTGCTGTCCCTTGGGGCCTGAGCTGTGGCCCCAAGCAAGAAGCTCTGAAGTGCTGCTTTGGCGACAGGGCCAGCCTCGGGCGGGGGCGGCAGTGGGGAGGGCCCCTCTCACCTGTCCTTTCCCTTCTCTCCTGGGGGACCTGGGGAAGCCAAGGAGAGTCTCCTCCTTCCTCCCCAGGACACCCCTCCCAGCACAGTCGTGAACCCCAACAAGCAGCTCCCAACATGAAACAGCACCTGCTCCCTGTGCCTGGGGCACCACTTATGAGCCCAAGCCGAGCATTGTTTGGGGAGTCCTGTTTAACTGAGCTCAGGGAGGCTTCTTCAGCGCTGATGGGGTTGGCCCTGAACGTCTTCACAGCAGTCCTGACACGTGCTACCTCTTTCCCCGCCCCCGAGGGCTCCTGCTTTGGGGCAAGAGAGCTGGGCAGGTGGCATTCCTGCTCACCAGGCCCCTTTGCAGGGGACGAGAGGAGGTGGCTGAGCCCACGTGAGTGCCCAGGCCCCAGCGGCACGCCCGCTCCAGCGCCCTCTAGGGGACACCCCTGGCGTAGCATCCCACGGAGGGCTGTGCTTTTCCAAGGCTGGAAGTGGAGCCAGCTGGGAACTATTTTGGGTTAATTATAGCTCCCAGGCCAGTGAAAGAATGATTGTCCTGGTTATCAATAAAACAAAGGAGCTGCTCTTGTGCAACCCCCAACACAACCCAGCTGTTTCGGGCAGCTCTTGGGTCTCCTGACCAGGCCCCCCACTCTCTCAGCCTCCTATGTAACCGTGCAGCCCAGTACCCCCTCACAGAACAGCAGCTGGGGAAGGGGGGGTTCTGGGGGGGGGGGAAATGATGCTGGAGGAGGGGGCGTGGCCAGCAACCAGGCCGCATTTCTAGGAAGTAGCTGAGAGGCAACGATAAGAAAAGATGTTGTTGATGATGCTGTCCTTGGTTGGGCTTGCGGGGGACACACCCGATGGTGCTCAGGGGTCGCGCCGAGGTCACTCGCAAAGAAAAGATGTTTTGAAACTGCAGCTGGGAAGGCCCGACTGCAGCTGAGAGGAGCCTCGATTCCCCTGGAGAGGGCGCAGGAAAAGGGGAGCAATAAATTCCGGGGCAAGAGGAGCCTGGGGGCACCCATCTGGGAGGGGGTGTCCCATGTTAGCCCCATCTGGGGGAGAGGAAATGAGAGGCCCAGTGAGGTGCGACACCCCCTGCTACATCACAGCGCTGGGGTCGGGCAGGGTCGGAGGAGCTGCAGCCAGAGCCCCGGTTTGGGCAGAAGCTGTGCCCAGCCTGGGGGCGAGGGTCTCCCCATGCAGGACTTCCCAGCTGCACCCAGGGCACAGCTGCAGTCCGAGGAGGCTCATGTACGATTCATGCGACCTCACTGGCCCCGTTACCAGGGACACAAGGGCAGAGGGAGGTCTGGGGGCTCTCTCGGCGGTGAGCTTGGGACTCCCCTGCTTCTCACTCCCGACCTTTCAGCCTCCCTACAGCAGTGCTCCACCCCAAATTCTCCACATTCCCCTGCCCGCAAACCTGCAGAATGGGCCATTTAAAGCTCTGGCCAAGAGGTACAAGCAGCCCAGCCATGAAAACACGGGGACGGAGGCGGTGGGAGAGGCCCGGGTGCCAGGCCCCCCAGCAGCCAGGACAGGCACCTTTTCATTCCCCGCACACTGCAGCGGTGTCACCTCAGGATGGGCCGGGCAAAGGCCCGGGAGTAGGCGGACTAGAAAAACACGCCACCTTGCCTCGCAGGAGGAGTATTTACTCAGGGCTGGAAACAGGCGCGCTCTGTGGCGCTCTCCTGGCTGCTCCCTGTGGGACCAGCTCCTCCGTTCAGCATCAGTCTGAAACCCAAGCTCCTGAGAACCCGAGAGGACAGCCGGAGGAATCAGGAAGAGGTCCTGCGCGCATGGACCCAGCAGGAGGGCGAGGCAGCGGCTGGCAGCAACCCCGGGACCCCAGGGGCTCTGTGGAGCCTGGACTGAGTCCTGCTGTGGGCCCCGGGGCCAGAGGAATTCCGGGCCCTGGACAATGGGTGACTTGCTGGGGGTTCAGAGCAGGTGCGGCCACCTAGACTCAGGAGAGGGTGGGGAGGGTGTTGGGGGAGGGGGAGGAGGAGGATATTGGCGAACAGTGTTCCCCGTTGAAGATACTTCACAAAGGGGACCAGGGATGCCGCCCCTGCCTGGGGCTGAGCCAGCCACTTTGGCAGAAAGCCCAAGTCAGACGTAAAGGGGCACAGGTTCGGGTATGGTAACCCTGGGCTGATTCAACTGTGCCAGGTTGGGGCGGTGCAACCCATGCTTCACTCTCTGCCCCGTACAGTGGGCACTGTCCAGAGTGAGACCCTCCCAGGCCTGTTCCAAAGGGCCAGCTCCTGGACCGTTCCAAAGGGCCAGCTCCTGGCCCAGAGATCAGTGTGGAGCTGAATGGGCCTGGGGCTGCTGGCAGCACACACACCGCCTGCGTGTGGTTTGGCCAAGGCCACTGCTTGGGCCAGAGTCTGGGGCAACAAGCCAACATGTCAGTCACCCCTGCACCTGGGCACGGCCCCCTGGCCACACCGGACACTTGTTTCCCAAGGCGGGTGCCAGGTAGTTGAGAGGTAAGGGACGGGGGCTTGAGATGCTGTCCTGTGGTAGCCTGGAGAGCTGAGTGTCACCCTACCACAGATACCACCCAGGAGGCCAAGGTTCCAGCCTCCTTTGCAGTAAGTGGGCAAGTTCATTGCCTTGGCACTCCCCAGAGATGGCGACAAGGGGCACCACCCAGTGCCCACCTGCATGTAGCTGCTGAGGTGGGGAGGGACTGTGCGACCTGACCTAGGAAGATCTTGTGATTTCAGATGAGAAAAGCAACTCGTACAGCACTAGGCATGTTAAAATTATTAGTAGTAGTATTTGGTTTGGGGACAACACCCAGGGATGCTCAGGGTTTACTCCTGGCTCTGCACTCAAGGGTCATTCCTGGGAGGCTTGGGGGAACCATGTGGGGGGCCAGAAATTGAACCTGGTGTTAGCTGCATGCAAGACAAACACCCTACATGCTGTTCTATTGTTCTAATCCTGCTAAAATCGTTTCTGTGGAAAAAAAATCTCTCTCTACCTTCCAAGGAGCTAACCGCATGACCCAGGAAATCACCAAATGACCCAGGAAGAAGGAGAGTGAGAGAGGGAGAGAGCGGGGGAAAGAACCGCGGAGGAAAGGACCCCTGACCTCGGGCTGTGTCCCTGGGCCCGTGTAGAGGGAAGGAGCAAAAGCAAGACCTCGTGGTAACTCACGCTTTTCCCAATCATACATATCCCATTTGCGTCAAACACTAATGAGCCCCCAATGCTTCTGTGCCCCGCCCCTCCCTCCTCCAATCGGACCAAAGACAAGAAGAAAGAGGTGGGTCATGGTGAGCTCAATGTGTTCCTGGGAGGCCAGAAAGGGGCGAGGGGACCCATCGACACATCGTGAATTTCGAGCAGACACAGAGATTGTCAGTATGCCGCCCCCTGAGCAGACAGCACAGGAACGAGGCGTGGGAACGCGTTGCCAAGCCCTCCTGCCTTCTGCATCCATCCCAACACCTCCAGATCAGCGCTGCAGGGGGCGTGGCCACCACGGGGCGTGGCTGCAGCATCCCTGGACCAGGTCTTGGAGCCGAGCCCAGAGTTGGCTCAGCAAAGGACGCGACGCAGGAGTAGTGCTGGGTTACCTGTGGTGCCTCCCTCGAGCCCCGGGCCATAGGCAGACACCAGGGCCGGGTTCCCGGCCTGTCCGGGCTCTCCCACGCGCACTTTGAAGGGGCTTCCAACCACGTGGCTCCCGTTGAACTTGACGTCGATGGTGTGCACACCATTCTCATGAGGGATGAAGCGGATGGCATACTTATCTAAGGGAGCAATCAGAGGCATGCGATGAGACAGGTGACCGTCGCGCGGCAATTCCAAATCCCCAGTGAGACAAGGTTCTGCTGGACACCTGTACCCAGTGGGGACATTAAAACCAGATAGGTCTGTTGTGGGGTCCCTAGTCAGCCCTCGGGGGTAAATCTCAAATTCCCTGTTTGATCCTTGAGGGCCTGTCTCCGAAGAACTTTTCCTTTTTGAAAAATGTATCTGTGAAGTTTCTTTCTCTGAGAGTTTCAGCGGGTCAGCGGGCACTAACACTCCTAATGAAACCCCAGGCTAGCAAATGTCCCACAGGGAGGCTGGGCATTACACCCTGGTCTGCATACAGCATGTGATGCTGTATGAGATGATCAGAATGAAAATGGACACCTCTTTGCGCGCCAGCAGCCCAGTCCTCCCGGACACACAGCCTGTTCTCTGCCTCTCCAGTCCCAGCCTCTTCCCAGCCCTGGGTGGCCGTTATCCCCTTTGGAATTTTTGTTCTCTAGTTCCATCCAAACCCTTCTCCTCTGCCTCCTCCAGGACTTTCCCTAAGAGGCGAATGTCCACATGGCACTGTTTCCCATACCCTTTATGTTTACTGTCTTTTGGAGGCGGGAGGGTACTGGGTCACACCAGGTAACGCTCAGGAGTGACTGCTGGTGGAGCTCAGGGGACCACGTGTGGTGCCAGGGATTCAATTATGGTTGCAGTTGCTACAACAGCATGCAAGGCAAGTACCCTACCTCCTGTACTGTCTCTCCGCACCCCTGCCTCCATTCCCTGTAACACTGCACTTCCCTGAAGCCCCAGCTGGGAAGTACCCCTGCTCTCTTATAGCCAATGTGCTCTGGGGGCTCTGATTCCACCCCAGGGGTCAGTAAGGTCATCGTTTCCCATGCATTAGGTCAATTTGTGCATGGCATTTGGGTATAGGAAATGATTCAGAGGAACACATCTGCTCAATGTTCCATGAGACAGAAATGGAAATTTACTGGGAATTTCTAGGGAAGGAGCACCTTAAACTCCTGAGGGAAAAAAGCCCAGGGCAGCAAGTGTCTCTGCATGGGCATGGTGTGATGATGGGAAAACTAGTACTGCTGCAGCCATTTTACCACCATGAGGAAGGAGTCTTAGAATGAGGCCCACCATGCGGAAGAACAGAGATATTTGGAGGCTTGTGGGAATAGCTGCATGATTGAATCAAATTGTTGCTGAAGTCTATCCTAGGTTCTGAATGTTCTTATTATGTGTCAGGGGGTCCCTTTCAAGGGAGTAATAGACCACTTTATTGAGTGAGGTGGGCTTGAGTTGGATGTTCTTAAACTGGCAATTAATAGCGACCTCACTGTGGCTCCCAGCTATATGGGACCCCATAGTGGGTCAGACAGGGCTACAGGACACGCTCGTATTCACTGGTCAAGTCCCAAAGCTGGAGAGATTCAATATTCCTAGTTGTACACTTGAAACCTCCCCAAACATTAGATTTCGCAAGCTCTTGACACACTTCGGCCCACCTTCTATCTGGCTGTTACTAATCTGGCAAATTTCAAACATGACTTTAATGAACCACCCAACTACAAGGAACCTTTCTGAATTCACTTCCTCCTTCACTCCCAGGGCCCACTGGCAACCAGGCATTGTGGTTTTCTGTCCTCCAGTCCTCCCTGCTGCTTGCAAAATGGCAAAATCACTTGCGGATCAGAAGCATCAGCATGACCACAGCAATCTAGCAGAGGTTCTCAAGCAATCTCGGTCCCGCGGTGGACTTACACCAGATCTGACCCAGTTGCCTGCTGCCAGATATGCTCCTTTCAAGATTCTGCTGTTTCTTCCTTTTCTGCCCAGCGGGCGGGCAATATCTAAATACGAAGCTGGGCCCCAGGTGGCCACAGGGCAAGGTGGGCATCAGTGCCATGGGGCATTCACCTTTTCCTAGGTATTGGCATTGCCTTCAATGTCCTCTCCTCTGAGAAGCCTTCAGATCTTTCTGAGGTGGAAACTCTTTCCTTTCCAGTTCTATTCTTCCCTTCCATTTGGTTCTCAATTCTCCCGGGGTATTGGTAATCACAGAAATCAAATTTCCTCACGCTTAACTAATGGCCAGGTCACTGACACCTAAAACTTCCTCAGCACAACAGTCACCTCCAAGGTGGCTGAAGTCAGGTTGTTCCATATGCCAAGGCAGTAGCCGAGAATCTCTTATGCTCTGAAGCCCTCACAGATTGCATTCACCTTTCTGAAGTTACTGGTGGACAGGCTGGGGATGTGGCTGGCGGCAGAGCTCATGCTTCGTATGCATGAGGCCCTGGGTTCACTCCCAACTATGCAAATAAGAAAATGCCATTTTTGTTTTGTTTTGGGGCCACTCTTGGCAGGGTCCAGGGACCATTTGTGACATCAGAGATCAGACTCGGGGTGGCTGTATGCAAGATAAGTGCCTTGCGCTTTGTACTTTCTCTCTGGCCCTAAGTAAACATATCTACAGATGAACATCGATTGACTTTTCTCTCAAAGTGAGGTTGACATGTAACTTATTCATGACGAAAGGTCCACCATGTAATTTTCAAACTCTGTTAAGTTTTGTTCAAATGGGAGAAAATTGTCATGAAAAGCATGTGAATTAAATAGAAAGTGACAGAAAAGAGAGCATGATTTGTAAAAAGATAAAGGGACCTGATCTCCCCAAGTATCTCCCAAGCCCTGGCAAATACGTAACCCCTAATTTGTAAACATCCGGAAACAGCGGAGGGAACTTGAGGGTTCAGTGGCCTTGGTGGCACCGACCGGCACCCGTCAGGTTCGGGAAGCCCCGGGAGGCTGGTCCAGCCACTGCCCAGTGCTCACCTGGCTCCAGTTCCGACACGTGACACTCCTCCACGGCGCCCGAGGGGCTGTGCACTTTGGCATCGATCTTGCCTTTCGCCCCGTTCAACCTTATAGCAAAGGAGGCTGGCTGGTTGACTTTCAACCCCGATTCCTGGGAATTGAAGACATCGGACAGGTTATGGCCCTCATGGTCCTGCCCAGGACCACACACTCTAACCCAATCTGGGGTTCCTGTGACAGCTCGCAGACAAGCAGACCCGGAATGCTTCCCACCTAACACGTGATGAGCCGGGTGGGGGTGGGATGGGAGTGGGGGTGGGGTTTCCCCGACTCTAGCACCAGAAAGGAGAAAGCAGAGACATGTTGGTGTGGCTGTGTACCCAGGTGGTCTTGGTCTGGGCTGGAGGAGCCGATTCCTGGGTTTGGAGACCTGAGCCTCCACACTATCACTGTCAACCTGTTGTTCATTGATTTCCTCAAGCAGGCACCAGTAACATCGCCTTCATCCGAGCCCTGGGATTTTAGAAAGTGCCACATTCGAGGCTCTTTCAGGGTCAGGAGAATGAGACCCATCAATGTTACTGGTTGTTGGCATACTGCATACTGAATGGGCGGGATACTTTTGGTAGCCTACCAGGTTCTCCAGGGTAAGAACTAGATAATAAGGTGTCAGGTCAATTGTGGCTCCAGCATTCTAGGCAAGGCCTAGTCAGGCACCAATATTTAGTTATCTTCCTTCCCATCAGAAAAGCAAGGATGTGGGGGACGGAGAGATAGTACAGTGGGTGGGGCATTTGCTTTTCACGTGGCCGACCAGGGTTCGATTCCCAGCATCCTATATGGTCCCCCAAGCACCGCCAGGAGTAACTCCTGAGTGCAGAGCCAGGAGTAACCCCTGAGCATTGCTGGGTGTGACCCACAAAGCGGAAAAAAAAATTGTCATTATTTGCCATAAAATAAAGTACATTAAAAAAATAGAGAGAGAGAAAGAAAAGTAAGGGTGTCCTTTTTGGAGGCCCAAACCTCTAGCAATGCTGCGTATCCATGCCAGAAATAACATTTTATGAATTTTGGAACTGTTATTTTGTCTTTTTTGTTGTCGTCTTGGTTTAGTTTTGATTTTTAAGTCCCACCTGGCTGTGCTCATGACTTATTCCTGGCTTTGTGCTGAAGGGGTCACAACTGGCAGGGCTTTCGGGAAGCAGATAGGGTGCTGGGGATAGAACCGGGTTAACCATCAGGCAGACACCTCACACACGGTACTGTCCCTTTGGTCCGCAATGGAGAAACGTTTTAATAAACTCTGAAAGGCCCACATGTAGGCCCTGTGTCCTGTGAAGTGCCACACGCCTGGGAAGCAGATCATAGCAACTGAGAATCAGCAAGGCTGGGGATGCTGCCTAGATCCATTATTAAATGGCTTTTTGGTCTACAAATTGGGCAAGTCCTCAGTGGGGGCCTCATTTACACATAAAAAGGCTAAAAAAGTCAGCTTGCTGTCCAATATGAACATGCAGATGGCAACAGCTTTTGCTCTTCACTTCTCTTGTTTGCTTCACTCTGCACACTTTGTCTTGCATTCTATATCCAGTGTTGGGGGGGATCGGAAGTATAGACCGACCTACAGCTATTTAACATCAGGGAGCTGGAGTGCCTGCCTGGAGCCCCAGGTTCCATCCTGGGGAGCCTCAAGGCCCTCCGGTACCAAGACAGAAATAGGCATCCAGTCCCACAGGGTGTGGCCCCCAAATCAAAACCAAAGAAAGGTATTTTAACATTGGCCAATCCTGAACCGCAAAATTTTACAAGTGCCTGCTCTCATGGAAACTTGGTCGAACAGCCAGGCTTCAGATGCTAACGCTATCCTAGCTGGGCTCATACTCAACGTGCAATTGAATCCTTCGAGGGTCTCATTAAAATGCAGTTGGTCTGGGATGGGGTCTGGGACCGCATCATTCTAGGAAGTTCCCCAGTGACGCTGAGCCTGCTGGCCTGGGGGACACAGCTCAGTGGCCAGCTACAGCACTGCCGAATTTGGTGAGCACTCACCATTATGTGTGGTGATATAGATGTAAATTTCAATCAACTAAAATAAAATTTTAAAAATCAGTGTCCCTGAAGTTCTCCGCGGCCACCTGTAGCTTGTGACTACAGTATGACACACTGAAGGTGTGGGGCGCTCTCCTGGTTCCCCACGAGCGGCTCTCCGGCACGGCCACGACTCCAGAGCACAGAATCCAATCTTTTAACTATCTACCTTTTAATAGAAATACTTCCAGGGTTAATAAGTGAAACAGCAGAAATCCAAATCCGCGCGGCCGCTATTGCGGCCGCGCGACATCATTTTATTCTTAAACCAAGCTGTAGAAAGCAAATCATTTCACAACACTGTTTCAGCATATCTGATTGGGTGAGGGGGTTGTAAACTCTAAGCAATAATTGTGTATCTTCTATGGAAACAATGTATCTAGTCAAAGTAGATAGAGTATTAACTAGAACTCATCTGCCTCACAGGAATTGGGAGGGGTGGGAGGTGGGGTTCTATTGGGGTTCATGGTTAAAAAGAAGTATTGGTAAAGGGAAATGTGTTTGATACTTACATGACTGAGACCTAAACCCGAAAGCTCTGTAACTTTTCCCACAGTGATTCGATAAAGAAATAAAATATTAAAAAAAAAAATGTTTTCAATTGAAAAAATGGAATGGGTTATATACAAATAATTACAGAAATATAATCTTTTAAATTAAGTCCTCACTAAAAATAAGCATAGGTGTAACTAATTCTTAATAATTTAATAAAAGAACCAATGATTTATTTTATGAAAAAAAATAAATAAATAAAAAATAAAAATCAGTGTCCCTGAAGTTCTCCGCGGCCACCTGTAGCTTGTGACTACAGTATGACACACTGAAGGTGTGGGGCGCTCTCCTGGTTCCCTGCCCTCGTGGTTACAGGCAGGGAGGGAGGCCGGAATAAGAAATTGCGGAGGGTTTTTTGGATTCCCCCATCCCACCAAGAAATGCAACCGACTTCAATTTCCTAAAAAGCCTCAGAAGCACAACAGAACAATACAGGCCTCTTTGCTAACCAGCACCAGATGCTGGCCTGCAGGCCTCCTGTAAATAATTTACATATCACTCAGCCTCCACCCACTTTGCCCCCCTCCACCACCACCCCCGGAGGCACAGGGGAGAAGCTGACCCACAATCCCTCCAGCTGCCGACGTGCTGGAGGACTGCGGGCCGCAGCCTGGCCTCTTGACTTGGCTCTCACTCAAGCCTCCTGGAGAGGAGGTCTCCCAGCCAACTCCTTTGGACCAGAACCGTGTACATTACCTGAACCCGACTGCCACTAAACCCTCCAGAGGGAGATAAACGCCTCGGAAGATCCGAAAGGAATCTTCCAGATGCACGAAGGCAGCATGCCGCCCTCCTCAAAGGCTGGGTTTATCTCCCTCCACTGGTTTTAGCTAAGTCGGCAGCAAAAGAACTTCTGTTAAGGAGCCTTTAAATGAAACACAAGAAAAACATCGGCAACACAGCGACCAGTTCGTGCCGGGGACTCTCTGGAGGAGACCACGTCAATCTCGGGCCCCTGACTGGAATTTGCCTCACTTGGGAACAATGAGCACTCTACTGACTCCCCCAGGGGAGTTAGAAAGGGGTTAGAATCTCATAGGGAAAACAAGGAACAGAACTGGGTGGGAAGCTCGAGGCTGTTGGAATCCCTTTGGACTAGGAGTCATATTTGGGGATTCTGATGCGCTTCCATGCTGACTTCCTACTGCTGACTCAATCGGAGGCCCCGCCAGTTTTGGGATGTCCTAGAGAAAACACTCAGATGGGTTCCCAACGGTTGTTACTTTAAGACAAAGAAAAGCCTTTCCTGACATCCCAATAGGTGGCACTATGTCATAACATTCCACAATGCCAGAGTGGGTGAAGGAGGCAACAGGAAGGTGAACTCGAGCCTCAAGGACTCCGTGGCCCCTCGGGGAGCCGTAAGTTCTCTGCACCTCAGATTCTCCATCTTTAAAATGGGGACAAGAGAAACTTACAAATCTCCCTATTGTTGGGGTTAGTGAGGTTACACTGAGGTAGTTCTTAACATGGCACCTCACTTAAGTAAATCATCAAAAAATAAATCCCAATGGACTCTTTTGGGGTCACATCAGGTGACACCCAGGGCTTCTCCTGGCCTGGTTATCAGGGTTTAGGCACAATGGCTCAGAGGTTGGTCGCTGCCAACAGTGCTTGGGGGGTTATGTGGAGCTGGGGATCGAACCTGGGCCTCCCACATGCAAAGCATGTGCCCAGCCCTGGGAACCATCTTCCCACCCACAGTTCGCTTTCTTGAGGTAACGGAAGCCAGTAAGAACAGGGGAAAAACATCACTGGGCTGTTAGTTTTTTGTTTGCTTTCTTTTGAGAGCTTTCCTTATCCATAAATGATTAACAGGCCTCCTTTGTTTCCCCTGAATAAATAGTTCAAAAACCAAACATGTCCATAAACACAGAGGTGTTCTGTTGACTGGCTCTGTGCGTGCCCCAACTCTCTCCAGTGTGCGGGGAGCTGACTGTGGCAGGAAGTGACTCGGCCACTGGCAGCACCTAGCCATGGCCTTGGGGAAGATTGACGTGGCCTCAGGAGTCGGGCTCGCACTGGTCAGCCTGTGGCCAAGCAGAGGGATGTTTCCTTGCGTCTCACCTGAAGGCTCATAACAGTGAGGCGGCGGGCGTCGTCCGAGGGGGCGATGATAGGCACCAAGTAGGGACTCTCCGGGATGTGCTCATCGTTGAACTTGATAGACACCTCATAGTTACCTGTGAGGACAGGAGCAATGCCATCATTTCAGACACTTGAGTGTGGCCTCCCTCCAGTCTAAAGGCTAAATTGCCTTCATGAGACCTGCCCCCTTTATGGTTGACCAGTTCGGGGCACTCACCTGGATGGAACTGGCCAACCTGATTTTTCAGTTGGGCAAAGACAGACATATTCTCAACTTGGGCCCTCCCTCCACCTACCACCCAGGGTCTGCATAAGAATTCAGGTTAAAAAAAAGTTGAATGCAGTAACTATGACACATTAATTTCCACTTAAAGTTGAAACTGTAGCATTTGCTTTCTTTAGAAATGGTCACAAGAAATCATAGTAAATACTTGGAAGTACTTGTCACCACCAAAAATATCAGATATTGTATGTCACTTTATATTTTTTTCTATATCTGGACATATCATTGACACTTAACACTTTCAAAATTAAAGTAGTTAACTGACATCAAAATCTGGTAATTTAACATATTAACGAAAATGTTCACACAGTGCGATGCTAAAATCATTTCTTTCAGATTTGGACAGGATAACTACATTTTAATACAACTTGTTTCCTTTACACTTTAATATACCTTATTTTATGTGCTTCAAAATACTGTCCTGAGAATGGTCCCTATAGGTCTCATTGGATGTCAAGGGGTCAATAGCCTCCTGTTTAAGGGCTAAGGAGAAGAATCAGAGGGCTGGAATATAGGTTTTTGCAGGTGGGAGGCCTAGGTTCAACCCCCTGGTACTGCATGGATGCCTGAGCACCAAGTCAGGAGTAACCCTCTCCATCATTGAGTGTGCCCCAAAACAAACAGAAATAAAAGAAATGTTTGGGGCTGCAGCAGCGATAACACAGAGGGTAGGGCATTTGCCTTGCATGCGGCCAACCCAGGTTTGATTCACAGCATCCCATGTGGTTCTCCAAGCACCGCCAGGAGTGATTCCTGAGTGCAGAGCCAGAAGTAATTCCTGAGCATCACCAGGTGTGACCCAAAAAGCAAAAAAAAAAAAGAAGAAGAAAAGAAATGTTTGAGTAAGCTCCCAATCTGAGGAAGCCATACCAGTCCCTGGCCAAGGGTGGGCGTAGAGACTGGCCGGTGTAGAGAAGGAAGAAAGGAACAAAAGTACAAAACACAGAAGCCAACAAAGAAGGGAAATGAGAAGAATTCCTGCTCCCAGCTAGGGCGACAGTCCAAAGCACTGCTTTGCATGTAAGAGCCCCAGGTTCAATCCCCACCCCTGGGAGTGACCCCTGAACACCAAGCCAGGTATAGCCCAAAAACCAAAAACAAGGAGAAAAAAAATATTCCTGCCTTTTTGAGGCCGGCTGGCTAGCCTCCTGCAATTTAATTTCTAGAATGCTCTCCAAGTGCCCTGCAGCATCCTGATTTACTTGAGCTAGCTTGACGAATTTCTATTCCAAACAAGCTACCCAGGCACAAAGAGGGAAAACTGGCCCTTGAGAACATACCAGGCTCCTGGACAATGTAAGACACACCACAGGATCCATTTTTATGATCATCAAATGTAATCTCGGCCTTGCTGGGGCCCTCCACGGCGATAGAGAGGCCCCCGGCGCCTGCTTCCCGCATCCAGATGCTGAATTCAGCTGAGACAGAGAAATACCTGGTCAGTGAGTGAGCTGGTGGGACCCTGCCCCCTTCTCCAGCCTTTTCTCTTCTTTGAACTCTGCACAGCCCCGAGAGAGGCGCGGCTAGACATTCCCAAGCCCCATTGGGCCTGACCAAAGATGGTGGGAAATCTGCCCCCCACTGAGGACACCCAAATCACATCAGAACAAGATGAGAAAGTTCCAGTTCAACCGGTCCATCTTCCCACCAACAACCACCTGTGACAGTTGGTTTTGTCGAGTTCTAGTGTGCTCTTTCAAGGTGCTTCTGAAATCACACCGCTCCCCTGAAACTCAGGACATGGAGCCCCACATTACAGAACCCAGGGAAATCCTCAGCCAGAAGCCTGTTGAATGTCAGGTGAGAATAGTTCCTGACCACTGAACCACAGCCTTGGGATGACCAGCTGTCACATGGACAAGGCCTTTGAGAACAGGAGGGTGCAGGCTGCTCCTGATTCCTTTCTCCAGTAATTCACCTGCCAAGGGCTGGAGCAGCCTGGCTGGCCTGTGGGAAGTCTGAGTTCAATTCCTTGGACCTTAGGGGCCGCTGAGCAGGGCCAGGTATGGCCCCAGGTTCCCCAAGAAGAAATAAATCCAATAAAATGAGTGATGTGGCACAAATACAAATTTGAAGCTAAGACCTACTCTGGCAGAATTCATTCCCTGGGACTTAGTAGTCCCGAAGGAAGGATTCAAAGATGGAGAACGACGTGATCATTAATAGTTACCATGGACCAATTTTCTGTGTTCTTAAAACTGAAGTTAGTACCTATGTCATAAGCAATGACATAGGCTCTGGGACTTCCCCAAAGTTCCACAATTCATATGAATAAAACTGGGATTCCAGTCAGGGCCTGCCGGCTCCAAAGTACTTTTTCTATCACCGAGTGGATCTATTCTTGTTACTGGACCACTGTTGATTTCTGTATCTTGGTATGTGTGTGGCATTAAGGAATGTGCCCCCAATCCACATACCCTCACACCCTGCAAAACAAGTTGTTTGTCCAGGACCTTACCTGGGACTCCTGCTTCTCCTCTCTCCAGGCCAGGGCCTCCTGCCCGGATCTGATGGGCACCCCCCTCGCCGAGTGGCCCCACAGTGAACCGGAAGGGGCTGCTGGGTACATGCTGGCCGCGGTACTTGACGCTGACTGTGTGCACACCCATTTCCAGGGGCACAAAGCGGACACAGTGTGAGTTCTTCCCCATAGGTACAATTTCCGCATCGGTCACGTGGCCAGAGGGACTGGTGACTTGGGCTGACATGTCACCGCCGTCGATTTCTGAAAGGGGCAGGAAGTGGTGGTGAGGAGAAGGTGCAGGGTGCACCGGCACAGGTAGGGTAAGCGGCAGTGGGTAAGGCGGGTGCAGCCTGGCTGTGACTCGGTTCCTCCCATTCGGGCCAACACTGGCCTTCCTCATGGCCTCCAATCTCTGGGCAGCTGTGGCCAGAGGCAGTGACCAGGTCCCTCCCCACACCACCAGTGCAGAGAACATTCTCGTGCCATTGACACCTCTCGCCTCACTGAGGACTCTGACGGCCTTCCTGGCGGGAGCTGAGTTAGTCCTTGCAGTGACACTGCTGTGGAATTACAGCAGGTAAATCAAATCTCTGACAACCTCGGTGCTTCCAGGCTGAATGTGCCAAGTGGCCACTAGCCAGCCATGCTTCCTTGGGGCTCCTTTCCACAGACTGGTGAGGGTGAAAAACCAGAAGCAATCATTTCTCATTGTTAAGAAGCTTTGGCTCTTAGGCAATAACACAAAGCACATTTAGAAAACATAGTGAACACAGATCTGTCCCAATGCCAAGGAAGAAAATCATGCGTGAGGCAAAGCTTTGAGCGAAACCCAGCTTGAGGGTCATGCTTTCAGAAAAGCGATGCCTTGGGTCACCAACTCCAGGGAGCTGGCCAGGTCTGCCCCATCTAAAGTGCTCATGCCATGCCAAAGACATGCTCGCACTGACTGGTGGAGATAGGCATGCTGCACCCAGTGGCCTGGTCGTGCCATCACCTACGGCCTGTGTGGAACTGCACTCTCCAGCCCCACGGGACCTGGATGGAGCAGCTCATGACTCAGCCTGAAGACAAAGAAAGGAAGGGAGACTGAAGACAGGGCCAGCCAGGTTCCTGGCGTCTGGCTTCTGAGGACATCTGGAATCTGTGAGTGGTCCCCCATTCTGACAAGAGAGAATCATTTAGGAGAAAAGGGGGAGAATGGGTCTCACGCTGTCATCTGGTACTATGGATCTGAAAGGGTCACAAAGAAGCCCAGAGAGGCTGGGGCTGGGTCTACATTGGTAGAACATGACCTGCCCAAACACTCCCACCTCCACCCTGCCTTCAGCGTTCAGAACTTTTTTTTTAAAGAACCAAGAGGGGTCAGAGCGATAGTACAGTGGGCAGGGCATCTGCCTTGCATGCGGACAACCCGGGTTCCATCTCCAGCATCTCATATAGTCCCTCCAGCATTGCCAAGAGGAATTCCTGAGCGCAGAGCCAGGAGTTACCCCTGAGTATAGCTGGGTATAACCCCCAAACAAACAAAACAAAACAGAAAAGAAGCAAGAGCCTGGAGAGATGAACAATTTTTGAACCAACACCTGAGCCCAGTGGTCAGGGCTAACTCCTGTTCTCTGCTCAGGGATCATTCCTGGTGGTGCTTGGGGCACATCTGTAGTGCCAGAGATCCAACTGGGATCAGCTGTGCACAAGGCCTTATCATCCCCCCCCTTCCACCCCCTGTACTATCTGACTATCTGTCCAACAAATCCAGGAGAGATTTAAGAGAAAGGATAAGAGCATATGTCACAAGTTCCTTGAGAATAGGCAAAGGGGGTGGGGGCAGAATAATTTGTAAACTGAGTACTAGAAAGCAAATAACCATCTCACAAATCATCAAAGATATGAAACCAGCATATCCTTCCATCAGATTGGTTGAAGTGAGAATATAAGACGTTTTCCTAAAACATAAAAAGCAATTATTGGCCAAAATATTGGGGGACAGGCAAGGATAAATATGAAAGATGCTGCTCCCATTCTCCTCCAAAGGGAGTTAGAAGTTAGAGTCACTGTCACTGTCCTCCCGTTGTCGATTTGCTCAAGCGGGCCCAGTAACATCTCCATTGTGAGACTTTTTTCTTACTGTGTTTGGCATATCGAATACGTCACGGGGAGCTTGCCAGGCTTTGCCTTGCGGGCGAGATATTCTTGGTAGCTTGCCGGGCTCTCCGAGAGGGGCGGAGGAATCAAACCCGGCTCGGCTGGGCCGGCTGCGTGCAAGGCAAACGCTCTACCGCTGTGCTATCGCTCCAGCCCAGAAGTTAGAGTAGGAACAGAAATTTATTAGGGGACATGTTCTGGGTTGCTAGGGGCTGCCTGTCTCCTAGGAGCCATTTATGGCAGGGACAACAGAAGCACAAACCCTCAGTCGTGAGTCCTGGCTGCCATGGTGGGAGGCTGGACAGATTCACTTTCATCCCCTGAGCAGGGATTCAGAACTTAGTGCAGGTCCTGGAATGCCTCGCACAGTGCTGGGAGGGACCCAGAGAAACACCTGATGTGTATTTATTGGTCCAGCAGTTCCACGTCTGAGTGTCTGTCAATGTGAGAACAGCCTGAGCATACAGGGCACTGTCTCGAAGCACAGATGAGGAGGCGAGGGTTCTGCTGAGCTAGAACCCCTTAAGGTCCTCTGAACCCGCAGGAAATAAGCCCAAAACCAAAAAATAAGGAAAGAGAGAAGGAAATGAATGTGCGAAAATGAAGACCACTCTGGGGAAGGCGGGCATTTAAGAGGCTGGTGAGAGTGGAACCTTCTGTTGTGCAAAGGTCCCCAGCACACAGTCCTGAGAAGCACCTGTGAATCAGGAGACGGAGCCACGGGCCTTCATGAGGCTGAGGCACCTGGGCCCTGACACTGGCTCCAGCATGAGTCACACCCTCCCTGGGGTGTGTGTGGGGGATGGACCCTCTGCAATGACCTTTGTTGAGTTCCACCACTTTCCACACACCTGAGTGGCCCACCCTGTATCTATCTGTCCAGGAAGAACCCACGGAGCAGGCCGAGGAGGTAGAAGAGGTGTGACTCGTTAGCCAAGAGGAGACCCACAGTGTCAGAAAAACACCCGCCACAGCCCCCTCACCACTGCACTCCATCAGAAGACACGGCCAGTTTCTGTCCGGGGAAATCTATAAAGTAGGACAAGGGCTGACTTCTAGGTGGAAGGCCCCCCACTCCCCTCTCCCAGTGCGGGCTCCTGGAGGGGGCATCCCAGCAGACAGTGGCCTCGATGGGAGGGCTGGCTCCCTGGGGCACAGGGGGAAAGTGGGTCTCACGTTGTTATCTGGTATCATCACTAGTCTCCCAACCCAGCCCTCACTGTGACGTGGCAGGTGAGAGAGATGACTGGCACCGAGACACCACCAGGCTGGCCCTACCCGGGAACTCGCAGAGGCAGATTGTAAATCCAAATCTACAGCCCTGTCTGTCCGCCCCTTCCCCCAGGGGTCCTAATAAAGGTATTTTCGGTTGGAAGAAGAAAATGGTGTCAGATAAACAGTTCCTCGACCTGTAAAGAGATGATGAAACAACCCCCCCCCACCCATGCAGGCGGATACAGGCTGTGGTGCCTGCTGCCCAGTGCTCACCTGGGATTTTCAGATTCAGGTCGCAGATGCTCCCAACAGTGGCGACAGACGGGGCCCGGCTGGTCCGGGTGATGCTCTCCTTAACTCTTCCCTCCCCGCTGATCTTCACGGTGAATGGGCTCCCTGAAAGAAGCGAGAAGACCCTCAGGAGCAGTCCGGAGACCCCCACGTGGCATCGCACAGTGCCAGACAACAGATGGTCAGGGCAGCGGGCAACCAGGCCTACCGGGCACATGCTCGTCAGCGAATTTGGTAGAGACGATGTAGACCCCGGGCACCGTGGGGAAGTAGGAGACCTTGCAGGTACCGTCTTCCAGGTCCTCCGTCTGGATGTCCACCTTGCTGGGGCCCTCCACCGCCAAAGATATGCCGCCATAACCTGTCCCACAGAAGTCCCATTGGACAGCAGCTCCACACAGAGGAGGAAAGTCAGCTGCTAAGGTGGGCTTAGGGGGGGTTCTCTCCAGACAGCAGGGGAGAGGAAAGGCCTATCAGCCCCGGGGGAGGGCGCGGAAGGGAAGCAGAGCACAGAACCCTGTTCTCCTGGAATTCCCTTCGTGCCCTCGAGGGCATAGAGCCTGCATGAGTTGCCGAATACGACACTGCCCACTGAGCAGGAACTGCAAGCACCGACTTGGGGTCTAGCCGCAGGCCCCAGAGTTTGGAATCTGAAACTATACCCAACTAGAGCAAGCATGGAAAAAGCTCAAGGTGAGGTGGAAGAGCAGGGGGAATCCGTGGAGATCATCTGCCCAGCAGAACCAGAACCTTGCCAAGCCCCTGCCCCAGGAGAATGCATCTATTTTCAGGCCAGTCGGACACTGTGAGAGAGTGACTGTTTGGGGTCATCTAACAAGGCAGAGGAAGGTGATGCTGGGATGCCAGCCTCCCTCAGACCATCTCAAGAAGGGAATGGGAGAGGTCTCATGTCCACAAAAGCACTGCAAAGTGGAACATGATCTTTGGTCAGTTGACCCAACATTCTTTGTGTGGGGCGAGCCCAGGAAACCCAAGGCAGTGCAGCCAATGGCAGGGGTACAGGTGCTGACACTGGGTCTGTGGATTGTTGTGGCTCTGAGCTCCAATGCGTGAAGAGCTCGAGCCACATGAGCCTGTTTTGGTTCTTTGTTGTTTATGTCGAGAATACAAAGATACTACATCATCAAGGGGCATGAGGTCTAATGTCAGTGCAGGAAGAATCATGTCAGCCTGAAGGATGCTCACAAAGAAAATGGAGCTGGTAGGATGCAAAGATGAAGCCACTTGGACAAAAAGTTCCTGAAAGTGCTGAGCTTTGCCCCAAGACCACCCCTTCTGACCTGCATCCCTTGTGTCCACAATGAATTCGGACATCTCAAAAGTTCGGCCTTCTGACAGGCCACGGCCATAGACTTTGGCTCTGCGGGCATCCCCAATCTCGGACTGGACCACCATGATGGAGACGGGGCTGTTAGCCACGTGGTTGCCGTTCTTCTTGATGCTGACCAGGTGTTCACCCACCTCCCGGGGGATGAAGGAGATGCCTGTAGAGGTGAGACAAGGGAATGAAGAGAGGGCATGGAAAGGGAATACACTCAGAAGAAAAGGAAGATGACTTTCGTCCTGGCTTTGCAGGAGCCCAAGTGTTCAGGACACGGGTCAGCATCAAAACACAGGCATGACCTTGGTGCATGCATGTGAGACAATGGGTTTTCCCAACATACGCCACTGTGGACCCCATTTCCAGGACAAAACTGAGAAGTCCCTGAATTCCCACCCAAGATGTCGCAGCTCCAGCCAAGCAGATCTCACCGATGTGGTTATTGGGCAGCCTCTTCAGGATACAGGGCTCGTCTCGGCCAGACGGAGCCTTGATGCTGGCTGTCAGCGTGCTGAGGTCTGTCTCGCTGATGTCAAGCAGGAAGTCGGCGGCAGAGCCCAATTTCACCTGGGAGCAGCGCCTGCTGTCATCTAGAAAACACCCCCCAACAGGGCGTCTGTTACATGGTTCACCCCAGCTCCGGGGCCCTTACTCCACAAGCTGTTTACAGATGAACAGCCAAGAGGGCATCACCCAAAGTTTAGTGAAAAAAATGGGGTCAGCTGCAGGCAAGGTAAGTGCCCTAGCTAGGGTACTATCTCTCCAGTCCCTAAGACAGTTTTTAAAGTTGTCTTTGGTAGTGAGAGGCACCTGCCTGATCTCCCCTGGGGCCTTTCTTGGGTAAATACTCAGGTTCCACACAGGATGGCTGTTGGCTGCTTCTGATGTAGGTCTGAACAACCTGGCTCACAGCTTAGGGACCTTAATAACCCACTGAGAGCGGAATCTGATAGCAGCGAGGAAGACAGGCCAAGAACATGGGCTCTGATCTGGATAACGTCCATCGAAGCCTGGACGACTCCTTGTGAACTTCACTGAGCCTCTGTGGGGAAGAATCCCTCCAGGAGTAAGGCTGAAGGGCATATCTAAGTCCATTTCATTCATCCAATAAGTGTCACTGGTTGTGACTACAGAGCCTGCTACTTACAGGCTGTCACCTGAAGGGCAGAGATTAATGCAAATGATGTGCTTAATTTTCCTTAGATTATCAGCTGGGGGGAAAAGTGAGTGCACCTGAGGTGGGTTTTATGCCCCAAGGTCTTCCTCAAGGAAGATTCCTCTGGGAAACCTCTACTCTAGATGTCTAGTCTGTGACTCTGGGTCTGAAAGGCTCCCCGCAAGCCAGGTCTCTTACCTGTGATCTTGGCAGTGAAGGGGCTGCCTGGGATGTGCTTGTCATTGTACTTGACCAGAATGCTGTAGTCTCCTGGAAGAGTGGGCAGGTAGGTCACCGTGCATGTGCCATCTTTGTTGTCAATGCAGCTGATCTCGGCCTTTGAGGGCCCCTCGATCGCCAAGTCCAGGCCCCCTGTGAAGAGAAGCAGGGAGAGCTAAGGACAGTTTATTTCCTCAGCGATCATCCAGGGCAGCCCACATGCAGGGATTGTCAGGCTGACATTTGCCCTGTGAGTGGAGGACAAGGGGTGGTTACCAGAACAAAGTGATTAACAAGGTGAATGACCCACTCAGAATCCACACCCGCACTTAACTTCTCCACCAGCAACCATAAAGATCTCGCTACTATTCCAGATACGTGAGTGACAAGAGGGAGCATGGGGTGTTAATCATACACACAGGGAACAGGGTCCCACAGACTGTTAGCTGGCCACACACCAAATGCCTAATGAAAAATCCCATTAGATGCACAGTTTGAGAAGTTGTCATGGGGGTACCAGAGCAATCGTACAGTGGGTTGGGCACTTTCTTTGCACACAGCTGACCCAGGTTCAATTGCTAGCATCCCAGATGGTCGCTGGTGCACCACCAAGAGTGATGCCTGAGCACAGAGCCAGTAGTAACTCCTGAGCATTGACAGGCATGGCCCCCAAACAAAAAACAACAAAAGAAACCATAATGAAGACAAGGGGCCTGGGCACAGGGCTTTGTCTAGCATGGGCTGTTCAATAATTCACAGCATGCTTCAGATTTACGAACATACGCCAAAAGTACAAAGAAAAGCATAGGGGCTGGAGCACTAGCACAACGGGCAGGGTGTCTGCCTTGCATGTGGCCAACCCAGGCCAACGAGGCGATCCCAGCATCCCATATGATCCTGAGCACTGCCAGGAGTGATTCCTGGGTGCAGAGCCAGGAGTGACCCCTGTGCATCACCGGGTGTGACCCAAAAATTAAAAAAAAAAAGTCATAAACCAAACACATTTAGATTTCAGGGAAGCCACAAAAACAAACCAACCAACCAACAAACAAACTCTACTTCATAATAGGAATCCCATTTCAATAAAAAAAACAAAAACATAAAGGACTTGAGAAATTTGCTCAAAGTCAAAAACATACATGTAAGATTTATTAAGAGAAAACAGAAGGTAAATACTATCATTCAACAACCATATTTTAAAATGCTATTCTGAGCTGTGTCCAAATGAAGGTCCAAAGCCTCGAAGCACGTAATACGTGCAGGCACATGTGTGCACACACACAAACACACAGAGACACACACATAGACACACACACACACACACACTACCTTCTCCTGCATCCTCAGTGACGATGGTGAAGGTGGCGGTCTTGTTGGCCACTCCGTACACCAGGCCCGGACCGTAGGCGGAGACACTCCCACTGTTGGGGTAGTTCACGTAGAACTGGAGTGGGCTCTCTGGGTTTGTAAAGAACAAAAGAAAACTGGGGCTCAGTGAGGGAGCAATGCATACCTGGTATGTCCTAACAATAGGCAGAAAACAAAGGTGGTTCTGCAGGAAGGCACCCAAGGTGGAGGTGGAGGTGCTGTTGAGAGTAGAGGGGACAATGCTGATCTTTTAGTCATTGTGCAAGAAAAACAGGCCCGAGGATGCCAGGGAGCTGAAACAAGGAACTCCAGCTCTACTGGAAGAAATACCTATGCAGAGTGGAGAAAAGAAGCGCATTTAAAGGGGGTCCTACTGGGGCTGGAGTAATAGCACAGTGGGTAGGGAGTTTGCCTTGCACACGGCTGACCCAGGTTCAATTCCCAGCATCCCATATGGTCTCCCAAGCACCGCCAGGAGTGATTTCTAAGTGCAGAGCCAGGTGTCACCCCTGAGCATCGACTGGGTGTGACCCAAAAAGAAAAAAAAAGGGGGGTCCTACTAGAGAGGCCCAGGGAAGAGGGACTTTTTTTGCCAGGCCTCTCCAAATCTAAGGTCCTGAGAGCCTGTCCCTGGACATCCATCTACAAGTTTTCCTCTGACCCACCTTTATTCCGAGCCCCAGGCAAATACTTCCATTGTCACAGTGATGGACACAAATTAGGAAAAAACTCTGCTGCCCCCAACAATGGTTGGGGTTGATGGTTGGCAGAAAACCATCAATCCACTCATGGTGGATCATTAAGATGGAGGGAGCTCTGTGCACTGACTTGCAAGGTTATGCAGAATGTGTCATACCAGAGAGAAAAAGGAAAATTGCTCTCTAATATCTGTACCATTATTCTCTTCTTTTGAAAACAGAACAAAAGTGTGTGCATGTTTGTAGAGACAAAGACAAACACTTGAAAAGAATGACAGGCAATAGAGGAAAGAGGAAAGGGAGAAAGTTTTTTTTTTTTTTTGCACGTTCTTTGCACCCACCTCTTTAGAATGTTTCAATAGAGGCAGGGGAAATATTTTTGCCTTAAACAAATATTATGTGCACGTAAACACATACACCAGAGCAAACATCAAACTGGGAGAAATATTTGCAACTCCTATCACAAAGAGCTGGTCTCTCCAATATTTAAACTGTTCCCCAACACTGATATAAAAAGAAGTCAGTGACCAAATAGAAAAGCTAGGCCACGGCCCAGTTTTCCAGTAGTTTGGCAGTCATACCCAAAAACTGCCCCCAGCCCATATAATCTCATCAACGGCCAAGATCCAGAGACTGTAAACTAAAGCTCCCGGAGAGAGCAATACAGAATGTCCTGACCCCGCCCTAGGTTATCTTCACCGGGGCACCTCGGAGGGGTGTGTTGAGTTTCCCTTCACACCCCAAGCAGAACCCGGCAGCCGAAAACCTCCAGAACCCAGCCACAGCCATGCTCAAGGCCACTCTCCACACTTTCGGAGGAAACTCACGCAAGAAGGAACCCACAGAGGAACCCAGCTTGGCAGTCACACCCACAAACTGCCTTCCCCATTCCCATTCCCCTTGCCCCCCACCCCCCAACCCCCATGCGCCCTGTAATCTCATCAATGGCCAAGATTCAAGAGACTATAAAATAAAGCTCCCTGAAGAGAGCTACGCAGAATCTCCTGACCCCACCCCAGGCTGTCTTCAACGGGGCCCCTCAGAGGGGTGCAGGTTGAGTTCCCCTCCCCACTCCAAGCAGAACCCTGGCAACCGAAAACCTCTAGAACCCAGCTGCAGCCATGCTCAAGGCCACTCTCCACACGCTTGAACGAGCCTCACCCATAAAAGAATCAGCAGAGGAACCAAGGTACGCGGGACCCGTGGCTGAGATCTCCAAGCCTGCTCGGATCTGGACTGGGCCTCTTTACCAGCTCCCCAGTTTTCCAGCAGCTTGGCAGTCACACCCACAAACTGCCCCCCAATGCCAGGTAATTTCATCAACCGCCAAGATCCAGAGATCATAAAATAAAGCTCCTAAGATCCAGAGATTATAAAACAAAGCTCCCGGAAGAGAGCTATGCAGAATCTCCTGACCCTGCCCCAGGCTGTCTTCACCAGGGCACCTGGAGGGGGGAGGGTTTAGTTTTCCTCCCCACCCCAAGCAGAGCCCGGGCAGCCTAAAACCTCCAGAACCCAACCGCAGCCATGTTCAAGTCACTCTCCACATGCTTGGAAGAGCCTCACGCATAAAGGAATCAGCAGAGGAACCAGGTATGTGGGACCCGTGGCTGAGATCTTCAAGCCTGCTCAGATCAGGACTGGGCCTCCTCCACCCAGATCCCCCCATTTTCCGGTAGCTTCGCAGTCATACCCACAAACTGCCTCTGGGGCCATGTAACCTCATCAACTGCTAAGATCCAGAGACTATAAAACAAAACTCCCAGAAAAAAAACGATGCAGTATTTCCTGCAGTGACTGGCTACACAACCTCTTATATTCTAGCCCACTGATGGACCTAAAGTAGCACACGTTTATTTGGTTTTACATACCTCTTGTCATCAATTATATACGGGTTTAAGTAGCTCCAGAATTAAAGACAACAACCTTCACACACTTCCCTCTTACTGTTGTGGGAAGATGCTCACTGGTGGGGTGGGTGTTTGAATATTATCTGTAATGAACTATTGTGAACTACTTTGTGACAATAAAATAAAAATCACACAAAAAAGAAAGAAAATAGGTCACAGACACAAATGCTAAGTTCATAGAAAAGGAAATGCAAATAGTACTTGAACATACAGAAAAGTTGCTCGATCTCATTCATGAGGGAGTACAAACAGAGTAACTCTGAGACGCTGTGTTGTCAACTGCCACTTGGCAACGGTCCACATACTGGAGAGCATATTTTACTAGCAATGCAGGTGTTCTCCAAGTTGCTGGGGAGGTGAACTGAAAGAGTCCCACAGGAGGGCGATTTAGCAAGAGCCGTCCAAAGGACCCAAGGTGTGTAGCTAGGCCAGGAAAGCCCTCCCAGCACGCAGACATGCCCTTTTTCAGGGGTCAGGTGGTGGGTGTGAAAGGATATTGAATGGCAGGACTAGCAATAGCAAAAGATTGGAAGTAAGCTCAATGCTCTCAAGAGAAGTAGTTAAATAAGTAACACACTGTAGCACTGTCCTCTTGTTGTTCATTGATTTGCTCGAGCAGGCACCAGTAACGTCTCTACTGTGAGACTTATTACTGTTTTTGGCATATTCAATACACCACAGGGAGCTTGCCAGGTTCTGTGGGCAGGATACTCTTGGTAGCTTGCTGGGCTCTCCGAGAGGGACGGAGGAATCGAACCTGGGCTGGCTGCATGCAAAGCAAATGTCCTACCTGCTGTGCTATCGCTCCAGCCTGGTTAAATAAGTAATAGCTTATTTAAATAAGTAATAGCTCATAAGTTAAATAAATAATAGCTCATCCACATGGTGGGGTATGGGGGAGTCGGGCTAGACCCAATGGTGCTCAGAGTTTACTCCTGACTCTGTTCAGGGATCATTCCTGGAGGTACTCAGGCAACCATATGTAATGCAAGGAACTGGACCAGGTCAGCTGCATACAAGGCAAGTGCCTTAACCCCTGTGCAATCTTTCCAGCCCAAAGACACCCCTTTTATTCAGATATGCAAGACTCCCCTGAATACAGTGCTGGAGATAAAGGGCAAGGAGAGAACTGTGGAGATCATGCTACTACATGTGTAAAAAGGTAGTTGTGGACGGGTGGGGGTTAAGCATCTCTATGTCCGTTTGTATATAAAGTTTTAAGAATATTCTGAAATTCAATAAAGGAAACTAAACAACATTAGTTCACATTCATATATCCCATGCATAAGAAAAAAACAATAAAAATGCAACATTACCTTGCATGCTCAATGCCTTGGCATCACCAAAACATTAGAAATGGAAAAAAAAGACAGGTTCAAGGAGAGAACAGATGGAAGATAAGAAACCATTTTTCACATCATTAAAATTTTTTTTTCTAGAGGCATTTTCCAGAGCTCAACTAGGCCTGGGCTAGTGGTACTTGGGCTTGTGGTCAGAGGCCCCTTGGGCCGCTAGCAGTTCTGGGGAGGACCTGGGTGACCCCGGGTAGTGGTGAGAGGGATCGTGTGGTGCTTGACATTGAACTCAAGGCTTTACACAAGCTAGACATGTTCTTCATCACTTGAGCCATCGCCGCAACCCCCATGGCATCCTGGCCGAGCCAAGTTCAAGTCCTCCACCCCTCTTAGAGAGCCCAGCAAGCTATCAAGAATATCTCGCCCGCATGGCAGAGCCTGGCAAGCTAGCTGTGATGTATTCAATATGCCAAACACAGTAACAACAAGTCTCACAATGGAGAGGTTACTAGGCCCGCTCGAGCAAATCAATGAACAACGGGAGGACAGTGCAGTGCTACAGTGGATGTGTTGCCTACTCAAGAGACTAAATTTAAACCAAGTTAAACAACCAGCAAAGAATTTTAAAAGGGATCGGAATAGCCATGCTGGTTGGAAGGCATGAAACTAGAGGTGGCTTTCCTCATCAGTACCATAATAAGACGATTCTTCTCAAAACCTCTTCTTCCAACCCTAAGGGTTCTGCAGGCCAGCCAGAAAGTGACTTGATGCACCTCGCACTTCCTTCCCGTTCACCCTCTGGCCACTCACAAGACAAACAAGTCTGGATTGCAGGGCCTATACCGGGAGCTGGTGCTGGGTTCCCCCAACCCTTCTGGAGCTGGGCTGGATCTGCTGGTTCATCAGGCTGTTTGATTTCACAGGCACTGCATTCCCACCACACAACAGCTGTCTGAACATCTGTACGCCTTCCAAATGCTTGAGATCCTGATCGTGGCATCCTGTGAGCTAGGCTGGCCAAGGGCCAGGCCAGTGCAACTCACCAGGGATGTGGCTGCCCATGTACTTGATGTGCATTTCATGGAGTCCAACCTCCGTGGGCGCGTAGCGGACGGTGACCGTGCCATCCTTGTTGTCCACGATCTCAGGTGCAGCTGTCTTCCCAGAAGGCATGTGCACCTCTCCTGTGGGGTGCAAGGAATTAGCGATGGGCCCATCAATAACTCCCCCTCAACCCCCTGGAGACTGAGAGCAGAGGCACAGGACATCTTCCAAAGGAACATTTTCAGCGCCAGGAACACTCCTGCTGCTGAAAATATCCAAGTCCCACACCAGAAAAATAGGAACGCTCGTTTTTACTTTGTCACGTTCTGCTTCTACAAAATGCAGCAGGCGGCTTGCAAGTAAAGTGCCTTCTGCCCCTGACAGACTGGATGCTCACCACACAGCTGCTTGTGGAGACCGCAAGGGTCAGAGGATCAACGAGCAAACTGTCCACTGAAGAGATGGTCAGTGAGGGCTATGAGAGAAAACAACTCTCATGCACTAGGCCTCGCTATCCATGTCCTGTCGGGGGCATGAGGGAAATAAGCAGCAGGCAAGGGGGTTGGGGGCAGGAGGAACGGGACGCTGCTGAGTCTAAACACCAAGGCTCTGAACCTGGGGAGCTCCCGGGGCTCTCTCAGAATGTCAGGCAAGTTACAAATGAACCACCTCTCTTGAGAAAGACGTAAACATGGAATATCCTATCATCTAAGGGGCTCCTGGAGTGAGACCTGGCTGTGCCGGGTTGAGGACCCGAGATGTTGGGTGGGGGTTGCAGGCATGTTCCCAAGAGCTGGTGCAGGGAAGGGGTGAAGCCAGCATTCACAACGGAGCTTACCAGTGATTTCCCCTTTCCTGACAGCAAACGGAATGACCAAGTCGAAGGGCTTAAATCCCAGCCCGTTCATGTCACTCACTGGGACATAGGCCTCTTCTGTGACCTGAAAACAGGAAGCAGTGGTCAAGCGGTAATGTGGACATGCGGGCTAGGAAAGCTACAGGGGGCAGAGCTGCTGGGAATTTTTGCAAGCCAGTGCAGCTGGGATTTGGGGACGTGTCTGCCCACGCAGGATGGGCTTGGTCTAAAGGGCAGCCCCAGGCCAGGAGCGGAACCCGAGGGGTTGGAGGCATCAAGCTGAAAAACCACAGCTAAAAAACACTCAGCAACTGGCTTGTAAACTTCCCAGCAGCGCCCACAGGAAGAGTGGGAAAGTGAGAGCAATGTCTGTGAGTCCCAAGAAGTTCCACGTGGAAAGGTTTAGTTGCTGTGGCCTGGAACAGAAGGTGCGTTTTTAAGTGGCAGAAGGCAGCAGCGGGTGGCTTTCCCCCCCTGACAGAACACGGCGGCTTGGAGAGCCAGCCGGGGGCTGGTGACAGCTTCCTGTCTTTCCCGCAGAACGCAAGACACACGGCGGGGAGCGTGATCACAGACACGATGGCTGACAATTCATGGAGCGTGGCGGACGACACGGGTGGGTTTTATCACAGAGAAAGCAGGATCATCGTGATGGCCCGATCAGCTGAGGACAAACCAATGACCAGGACACCCAGAGGCCTGAAGCAAGCCCCAGAAGCAGGTGCAGTTTTTCTGAAATGAAGGCTGAGTAAACATGGAAGTGCACAACAGGAAAAAATCCGAAAGTGTACCCAGGGCCTGAGTCCAGGGGGACATGCATTTACCGGTGCCTCCTCCACGGCCGTGACGTCCCCGTCTGTGGCCTGGTCAGTGGCAAATGGAGATTAGTTGGGAATCATGGGAGCGACAGGATCTCCTCACAGACCCTCTCACCTGAGTGCTCCCCCCGCCCCCACCTGCTGGACCACAGGCTGCAAACTGCTCCAGCGAGGCATCCTTTCCCACTACCTCTGAGAGAGGAAGGTGTGTCCCTCCCAGTGTCAAGCCCACAGGCCTTCTGAGAGTGTGACCTACTTCACTTCCAGTGAGCAGGTCGGTTAGGAAAAGGGGCAGGGAAGCCCACTGGTGAGTGCTGCTCGGGGCTCACCGGTGCCATTTGTGGAGTCACTGAGTGCACGTGGTGCAGGCGGCAGTCAGCGAAATGACATCAGTCAGTAGGGCTGGGAAGCTTCTACAGCAGTGTCGTGCCCGAGAGACAGGGGGGGTATCTGGGCACACGCTGGGGAGGCAGCAGGTCACAAAGCCACATGTGTGTCATGACCTGGGCCACAACCTGATGTGTCTCTAGGGCCAGCAGAGAAACTACCCCGGGCTGTCTCCAAGCACAGAACTGGGGAAAGGGTCTCTTGACTTAATGCATCTATAAAGTTGTTAATATCCCTAAAGTGTTGGTTTTGGGTTGGGGGCCACACCTGGCAGTGCTCGGGGACTACTCCTGGCTGGGTGTGTGGGCGACACTTCTAGCAGTGCTCGGGCAACCGGGTGGTGGTAGGGATCGAGCCCAGGACTCTCTCAGGCAAAGCCTATGCTCCGGCTCTTTGGGTTATCTCCCTGGCCCTAATCCTGACATCTTTATAAATTCATCTGGCAGTGAGTGCGGGAAGGTTTGGGGCCACACCCGGTGGAGCTCAGGGCTTACTCCTGGCTCTGTGCTCACAATCACTCCTGGACCACAGGTAGTGCTGAAGATCAAAAGAGGATTTGCTGTATGCAAGACCTTAATCCATGAACTATCTCTCTGGCCCCTAAGATCACGGGAGGGATCCCCTCTTGGTACCCTCTAGACAGTGACACATCACTGGCAGGAAGACCTTCCCATGGCTACACATTAATCTTTGATCCAGTACTACTCAGGGTGGGAGAGAGGCTGCTGATCACATTTCATTTGTTTAGCTGAATCAGTGGCTGGTTCTCAGGACACCTATTGTGGAAGTGGAAGTGGGTGTTCAGGAGTCTCTGGCCTTCAGTCTTTCGAAGGAGGCAGAGAATCCCCCACCAGATGCCACTGAACAGAAGCCAGTCCATTCAGGTGCCGGTGGTGAGGGCAGGGGCAGTCTTTTTGCCATTAGCAGTGGTCAGGGGGCAGAGAGTCCACACAGAGGATCTTCAGTGTGTTTTCCAGAGCTCAGAGGATGCCTCGTGAACTTGGTGGTCCCTGTTTCAGATCTCTGATGTACCCACTAAAATAACCCTGGGTATTTTCACACTCATGTTCTCCATCAGCCCCTTCTTGGTGGTTTCTGAACGCATAGCACTGCCTGGGGCCTGCTCTTCCAGGCTGCTCAATTCTATCCAACCAGACAAAGTCCAGTGGGGTTCAGATCAGCTTTGTAAAACTACAGCAGTTGTCTACATTGTCTATAATAAGGACATAAACCGTCTAGCTGCCTTTCCTTTTTGCCTGAAGGAGAGAAAGATTCCCAAATGAACACTGTCAAAAGTTGACAAGTGTTTATATCCTTGAGACATAAAAGCCTCCAGACCTTTGGCCCAATGTTTACATATAAACAAATATCTATGGAAAAGGGAAAACAGAAACTACAGCAGATTATAGACTGGAAGACAGACTGGGGCTTCTGTTTGGAATAGAGTCTTTTTCTGTATTCTTCTTTGCTGCATGCAATAAAATCATTAGAAGGGGTTTCATAGACTGTGCAAAGGACCAGATCGTGAAGCTGATCAGTGTTTTTTGACCTGTGAACTCTGTGGTCAATGAAGCAGCTGCTAAGGCCTCAAATTATTATCCGTACAGGGCAGGCCTGATGGACTCAGCACACCTAGTCTGATCCCTGTTCCTACACCTCATTTGTAAAAGGGATTAACCATGCTTCATTTGGAGGGCAGAATGAGGGAGCAATCCTATGGATTCTAACCCCTTCCCTGGCTAAAGAACCTTAATATTAAGAGAAAGATCTAAAAGTCACTTTGGTTTGAGAATTCTAAGAGTCTAGCTATTACCTGGCCCAGACGTTAGTCTAGTGGTTTCCTTTTATTCTCGTTGCTCCTAGCCTCAAACATAAGCTATTCCCTTGTCACATGCAAAATCTGAATCTTCCTAAAACACAATTGGAGGTACTCTGAGTCCTGGGATACCAGTTAAGTTTTTAGACAAAGCAGAAACTAGAAATTTCTCTCCTCCAGCCCTGGAGATGGGAGAGAAGAAGAACTAGCCAAATAAAAAATTCTGCTGTCTTTCTCATAAGTATATTTTTGTCAAAGTATACATTTTTGAACTGGGCTTAGGCCAGCCAGAACCCTGCCTAAGACTTTAGCAGAACACATACTTTCGTGATCTATATGAGTCCTCTAGCGTACTGAAATTTAAAAGTCTTTCTGGAAATTATTCTAGGACTCTACAAGGTCATGGCTGATTAAGGAAGAAAAAAATTTAAGTGAATAAAACAAAAACCAAAAAAAAAAAAAAAAAGAAAAAAAGTAATGTCCTAGCCAGGTTTTAACAAATGGTAGCTGTATTGGTTTTGCTGTTAAGGGTGTGCTCTTGAAAGAAACTCTCCTTACCATGACTGTGAAGGGACTGTTGGGAATATCAACACCGCCAAAGCGCACGTAGATGACATAGGTGCCCGGCTTGGCAGCGGTGTAGAAAATGTCATAGGTGCCATCCTCATTCTCAATGACATCAGCCTCGGCCTCGGTACCGTCGGGGGTTAGAACTGTGCATGTCACCTTTCCCTTTCCAGCAGTCTTGGCGTCAACCACAAAGCCCACTTCCTCACCGGTTTTCACATTGGGGGCGATGCCAGGTCCTGGAGACAAATGCAAAAGGGGAGAATGGAAGCCCGGCAACAAAGCACCTTCATCTGGGTTGTATCTACGGAGAGACTTCCGTAGTCTCTACACAGGAGGCTGACTCCGAAGTGAGGTGGGGAAGGATGCTCAAGGGAGCACAAAATCCACTGATATTAAGGAGAATCTGCAAGCTCTCAGGACCAATCAAATTTGAGACCTGGTTTGCAGGCATTCGAGGGGAGCGAAAGTCCAGCCTTCATTAGCAAACATACCCTGGGCCTTTTCTTAAGCGCGGGTATACAGAGGGTGAATAAAACCCAGCCACTGCTCTTAAGATGTACATGATCTAACAGATGGATGAAAACTGGACACAGGAATCCAGTCCAGCCTGCTGTGGAAATGCTGAGGGAGCCGTAAGTCATAGGAACTGTAACAGGTCATCAGAAACGCGTGCTGCAGCACTTCTACATGAGAAACGTTAAGGATTCATACCTCAGGGTTGTCACATTGGCACAGGGCTTCCTGAGAAAGGGGGAGTGGCTGAATTCTGAAGGAAGTGTTCTCTTAGCTAGGGGAGACATAAAGTCTCTGCCCTCAAACAATGATCAGTTTCTCTCCTCTCTCTCTCTCTCTCTCTCTCTCTCTCTCTCTTGTGCATATACACTCGTTTCATAGGATCCACACAGGATCCCAGAGTGTAGGAAAGTGTGAAGGCACATTGGCAAGACTGCTCAGAACATGTTCAGACAATGGGCAGAGGAAAACCAGTCTGTGGAAGGCCTAGAATGACACAGTTAGAGGTGTGGCCTCTGGGAGCCCCTGAGAAAGCAGAGCTTTCTGCCTGAGCTCAGGAAGTGAACAGGGCCCAATATCCAAGGAGGGTGTCCCATTCAGTATTACCATGCCCTTGGTCAGCAAAGGGAATCACTGTCCCAGGTTCAGACTAGACCTTGGAAATGGCAGCCTGACCAGTGTTTCAAAATGGACCCAGGTTTGCAACAGGGAGCTCAAAAGGGCCAACGGGAACAATGAACAAGCCTGCCCTGGAAGCCAGAAGACTCTCTCCATCCAGAGGAATAAGACAAGATGTAAAATAGAACTCACTGAGGTGGATCACTGTTTAGTTTTATTTAGGAAGAAGCATATTTATTTAAAGACGGGGAATTTTTATTTTTGCTTTTGTGCCAAATCTACAGGTCCTCAGGGGTTACTCCTGGCTCTGCACTCAGGAATCACTCCTGCTTGGGGGACCCTATGAGATGCCAGGGATCAAACCTAGGTCAGCCGTATGCAAGGCAAATACCCTACTTGCTGACCTATCACTCTGGCCCCAAGATGGGGCATTTTGTTTTGAAAACTGCTTGAACAGCAACGAAGTTGCAAGAGTTGTTCATACAAATTGAGGGACCTGCTAGAGTGGGATTACAGTGGGTAGGACATCTGCCTTGCATGTGGCTGTCCTGGGTTTCATCTCCGACATCCCATAGGGTCCCCCAAGCACTACCAGGAGTGATTCCTGAGTGCAGAGCCAGGACTAGCTCCCAAGTATTGCTAGGTATAGATGCGAAAAGCAAAAATGAAACAAACAAACAAACAAACCCAGAAATTGAGGGACCCAGGCAATATCTATTGTGTGTCTTAGGTCTTAAACTGTGGGACATGACCCCTTAAGGGGCTGCTAACTAAATGTGGAGCTCATAAACAATCTGGCAAGAAGAAAAGTTCTGAACATACAATAGCCAAAAATTAATTCAAAATCAGCTATGTTATGAATCCTAGGTGTTTCCGGCAGTGTCCACCCATATTGCATTTCCAGGGCAAAGAGGGGTTGCAAGTTTAAAAGCCTATCTAGATAATGAAGGAACTGTGAGTGCTCAAATATTCATGGAAAATTCCTGAGAGACATAAGTCTCAAGTGTTGAGGGGAAAGCTTAGATTCTTCAATGTGTTTCTTTAATGCTGACCTGAAATGCTCTTGAATAAATCTTGAATATCTAACTCAAGAAAGGTTCCAAATGTTGCTTTTCACAGGAGCAGCCATCAGAGTAGATTTCAACAAATGCACCCACTTCAAACATCACATAATAATAGCTTCCCTGGGCCCAGCACCCTGCTAGGCACTTTTGATACTGACCTCACCTAACTTTTGCAATAACCCTGTGAAACAGTCTCTGATCTTTAGAAGAGCATCTTGAATTGAAATGGTATCAAGCAAGATCTTCCATCTCAGTCTGACAGAAACTCAGAGTGGTTGGGCATTTGCCTGGATCACACAGTAAAGGGTTAGCACCAGACTTTCTAAGTCCCCATTCCACAAAGCACATGCTTCTCACCATGATCTGCACTCACCTGTAGCCAGGCACTTGCTGGCATCACCTGTCTGCGTGGCCCGAATGCGGTAGGGGGAGAGCGGGATGTCATCTCCTCCATAGGTGACACCGATCATATAGCGTCCAGTCTTATCAGGGATGTAGGTGACGGAGTATGTGCCATCTTTATTGTCATGGACAATGGCTCTTTTCGGTTTCCCCTCTTGGTCCTGTGGATCACAGAGATATGTTACTTAGAACGTGATCATCAAGATGCAGAAACTATCCCTGGAAAACTTGAACAATTAGTGCCTGTATCAGTACTATTGGCTTCAGACAATCTCAGTTTTGGGGGGGCAGAGAGAAAAAGATGATCAGATACTTTTAGCAATATAAAGGGTGAAGTGGATTTTTATAATTGTTTACTGTTAAGTAAACAAATGCCGCTTTAGTTCTCATTCCATTGAAGTGTCAGGGGGGCAAAGGACAGAGGGTCCTGCTCATACAGGCACGCTGCTCCCCCTTCTCTTGTGCAACCAGGACCCTAACTCTTGGTGCAGTGCATGTGCTCCCAGAATATGAGATCTGTTTTTGAACATCATAAGTGGCCACCTGACTTGTAATCAACTTATGGCAAATGAGAAGGGAGGGGAAACCTTATGAGGGAATCGGACAGGTTGCATCAGCAAGCTGATTCATTGGAAGACATCCCTGCTGCCTCTCTTCCTCCCTCTGGTCTGCCCTATGGTTCAGTGACAGGGTACCCACCAGCTGCCTCATGCTTCAGGAGGAGATCTTAGGGACAGAAACCACAGACTAGGACAGAGGAACCAAGATGGGGAGCCTGCTTCCCTGAGAAGCCACAACGCACCACCCAGGCTCCTTGCTGTCATCCTCCATTGGTGATTCGGCCATTGTGATTTAGGAGATTATGTGATAGGCAGACCAACTGATTGCATCTGAGTCCTAACAGATGCAGCCAGTAACTTAAACATTTAAATATTTAAACATTTAAATAGGAATATATAAAGCAGAGAGCATAATATATGAGATCCACCAAATATGATTCTAGGAGCACCCCCCCTCAGCAGTAGCCAATAAGCAAGCATACTTGTTCCACAGAGTTACTGACTTCACTGACTACAAGTGAGAAACATTTGTATCATATCAGAAGTTGATTATAACAAAGATCTTTCTTTTTCCTAGACAGGAAATGAGGTCTTATTAATGAAGTTGGACTGTAGAAAGTAAGTTCCAGTTACCGTTATCTGAACAGCAAGCAGGCCTTCACCAGCGTCTCTGGCATCAATGGCAAACTCCACAGGCAGACTGGCAGGCACACCATAGGAACTAAGGCCAGGGCCACTGGCAGTCACTTTACTGGCATCATATGTGGGAAGGACCTTGACCTTAAAGGGACTTGATAGACACACACATTCCTGGTCAGCATGAATTCCTATCAATACGGCTATATCAGATGGCTAGTACACAGGAGACTGGGACTGAAGTGGGGGATTTCTATAGTAAAGAAGAGTAACTTCAGGGGCCAGAGAGATAGTATATCAGGTAGGGTGTTTGACTTGCATGCAGATGACCTAGGTTCAACCCTTGGCATCTCCTATGGTCCCCCAAGCACTGCCAGGAGTAATTCCTGAGTGCAAAGTCAGGAGTAACCCCTGAGGTCACTGGGTGTGACCCAAAAAAGGAAAAAAAAAGTTACTTAAGTCAAAGTCTGGAGGAAATTTAGAACTATGACGGATTAATCATCAGATGACAGATAAGCTTTCCCAACTTTCCCTACATGCATTCCTTAAGATGCAAATTAGTTTCCAAAGTCGTTTGGAAAATATGGAGTTAAACACATGTACCCACTTTGGTTAAGCCAAGACAGTGGCCATCAAAATGGACAGAGAACATCTGGACCTTCAGTCTTAACATTTTATTTTATAGTTTTATCTTCTATTTTATATGTATTGTGCATATTAGGGGAATAAATGAAAATTTTAAAATCTTAAAGTACTATTAAAAAAATTTAGGGAGCTGTTCTGAGAGGTAAAGTGTTAATACATACTTTTTTAATATTACCATAAGGATCAATAAGGTTCTATCCATCAGCTTTCTGGGACTTATACTGCCAATCACATCTTCAAGTGAAGAAATTAGAAACTTTTACCCTGGCCAGAGTGACAGTACAGCAGGTAAGGCACTTGCCTTGCATGTGGCCAACCTGGGTTTTGATTCCTGGCATCCCAAAGAGGGGAAAAAAAAAACCCAAAACCCAAACCCAAACTTTTATCCTAATCAGAAAATTATTGGTGGGACACCAAGAAATCAAGATTTTGGAGCACAATTGCATTCTTGTTTCTTTAAATATTTCTGCCTCCTTCATTTAAACTTGATTTTAAATGAAAGATGGCTGGAAGGAATAAAGGGTGGGGAACAAAAGCTACTAATATCACGGCAAGTAATTGTACACCTGTAGAGAGCATAGGTTTTCAATAATTATTGCTAGTGGGATGAATGGAAGGACGTGTGATGGACGGGTGGCAGATGAGTGGATGGGTAGATGGGTGGGTAAGTGAAGTGAGAAATGGATAGATGGGTAATAGGTGGATAGGGGGATGGATAGGTGGATGGTGAATGGGTGAAGGGGTGAAGGGCTGGTGGATGATGGATGGATGAATAGATGTATAAATAGGTGAGCTAAAATAATGGTGCTGGCAGAGGGAGAGGCTTGTGACTAGTTGGGACCTCTTCACTGTGTCAGGACTTACCTACGAGGAATCTCTTCATCTGCATATTTAACTGAGACCATGTAAGGCCCTTCTTGGGATGGGGTGTAGGTCACTGTGTGTGTGCCATCTCCGTTGTCCACCACATTCACTGGCTCTACCAGACCTGGGGACAGAGATGAAAGATCTGAGGAACTGCCTGGTCTCCCCTTCATACCACCCTGGGCTGAAGAAGAAACAAGATCACATTCTTTCCCCAGAGCTGCCGGTTTCACTGATGAGTCACATGGAGGCGAGTCGGCCATAATCAGAGGCCTAAGAAATTTCAAGAGACAGGATTCCCCAATTCATGGTTGCAGAAATGACCTCAGGAGACACCTTTGGTGTTTTTTTTTTTTTTGGTTAGCTAAAATACCCTCAGTCATCCCTAGAGTATAATTAAGGAGACTGCCTGCACTTGTTGCTGGAGGGTGTAAGGCAAAGACACACGTTGCAGACATGCTAGATCCTTTTCAAGCTGGTTAGGCATGCTTGAGATGTGGCAATTTTACACTACAGCCGAGAGAGGGTGAAAGAGTCCAGAATTGTGAACAGCACAAATTAATCAAGGAGCTGGCCAGTCAAGACTTGTGGCTACCTTTAAGGAAAGACCACAAAGGCACCAGAAGCCTAAATGAAGGTACAGGGCTGGGGAGGATGCCCATCTCACGGGTTAGAGGATTCTGGGATGTGATGTTTGTGGGGGATCACTAGGGGAGATCGTTAGGGACTGCGTTAAAGCATAATCAAGGCATGCAGTGAGTTGGTTGATTTCAAACTCCGTTCTGATTATGGGGATCACGGGAGAATCAATTTCAGGGCAGGTTAATCAAAGCGTAGCATATTCATTAGGCAAAGCAGATGAGGTACAAGGCACTATCAGGGACCAGCAAGGCATTCAGGTTAAAAAATTAGAGCCACAGCCAAGAGGAAAATGCAAACCTGTCTCCATAAGGTCACCCTTCGGGTCACCTTTAAAGAAGTCTGAAATGGCTTTCAAGGGGCTGCGCTTTGACTGGGAATCCATCTCATCAACTAGAATTAAAAGAGGTTACTTTAGAGTTCCAAATAGAGATAGAAATCAAGGTAAAGCCACTCTCTTTTACACACACACACACACACACACACACACCCTGAAGTCAGTAACTTTTGTAAAATCAGATTCTAGCCCTGTGCCCTCATTTCCCCAAACCACTTCTGAGCTTCAAAGGGTATAACCTTCTGTTGAACCTCATTAAGGGAAAAGTCCTTCTTCAAAGAAAAGCCCCCACACACCACTTCTGGGAAGTCAAGAAGACATCACTGGGCGGGGGGAAATCCAGATCATTTAAGAAATCACGTGCAGAAAATGGCACAACTTAAATGCTAGAAGAAATGTCGTCATCTGCCTAAGAAGTAAATTTCAATGCACATCAGGTCTTTGTCTCAAATGGCCAGAGCAATTGGACTTACCAAACTCTGACTCTAGGCTGCTAGTAGGTAGGCAATTACCAACAAAGCCCATTCCTGAATCAATACTCTCTCTGTAAGGAGTGGGGACAATGAAAAAGCCATGGTGCCACATGGGACATGAATGTTTCCTCCAGAAATTCTCTTGCTGTGTGAGCACCAAGAAAGTTGTCACCTCCAAATTCACCACCCATTTGAATGCAGACCAACCTGGCCTCTACCAAACATTAAAGTAAATAGTGAGGCAGCGGTGACAGGATTATATGTGAAGCCCAAACACTACATATTTTATCTGGAAACTTTAGAAGAATATGATTTAACAGATATTTAGGGCCATGTTTATTACATTTAGGTCAACAGGAAAGTAACAGGCTCGTCTTGCCTACTTTGATTTATTTACTTTTGGTTTGGGGCCACACTTGGTTTATTCCTGGATCTGTGCTCAGGGATCACTCCTGGGCATGTTTAGGGGTGCCAGGGATCAAACCTGGGCCAGCTGCACGCAAAGCAAATATCCTGCTCACTATACTATTGCTGTAGCCCCAGCTTTGCCTACTTTTAACGCAGGGTTGCATATTGTTTAGCTAGAGTATGAAGTAATAAAGCAATTTAAGAAACTCAGAAGCAAGGGCTGAAGGCTGGGAGATAGCTCAACGTGCTGCATAGTGCATGGCTGGCATACACAAAGGTCCTGAGCTTAATCCCCTGGCACCACATGCCCTGAGCACCACTGGCAGGGGCCCTGGTGACCACAGCATTGCTCCTCAGCTCAGGCATTGAACTGTCTTGCCTGAATAGCTTGGCCGAGTTATCACCACTGTCCATGGCTGCCCTGAGCAACGCTTGGGTACTCGACCCACCAACCTAATAGAGAAAATGAAAATGTGTGAAAAAACTAAAGGGGGCAGAGAGATAGTAGAGTGGGTAAGGTGCTTGTCTTGTATATGGCCAACCAGGTCCGATCCCTGGAACTGTGTATGACCTCCTGAATATTATCAGGAGCAACTCCTGAGCATAGATTCCTGAGCATAGAGCCAGGAGTAACCTTAAGCACTGCTGGGTATGGTCCAAAAGCAGAACGGAAGGAGGAAAGAAAGAAACAAAAAGGGGAAGGGGAAGCAGAAGGGGAAAGGAAAGAAGAAGGGAAGAGAGGAGGAAAGAGGAGGGCAGGGAAAGGCAGAGGAGGGGAGGGCACAGGAGGGAAGGGAAGGGGAAGAGAAGGAAGGGAAGGGGAAGGGAGGGGAGGGAAGGGAAGGGAAGGGAAGGGAAGGGGAGGGGAGGGGAGGGGAGGGGAGGGGAGGGGAGGGGAGAGGAGGGGAGGGGAGGGGAGGGGACGAGAGAAAGCCAAGGGTCACTTTCAGTCATGGGCAGTGGATGCTGGGTATGGTCTCCTGCTTACTCACCTCGTGGGCCGAGGACCCGTACTTCCAGTGGGGCCAGGCCAGCTTTGCTGCTGTCCACGGTGAATGACTGTGGGACACGGGCTCGGACACCTGAACCCACTCCAGGACCGGTGATCTTGACTTTGCTGGGGTCCACAACATCCTTCACAGGAACCCTGAAGGGGCTGTCTAGAAGAGAGATGATAGGATTCTGAGCATAGCCTGTCAAACACAGAAATCTATCCTGTGTGCACCCAGAATCACCATCACCCCACAGGACCCTTAGATGAGCCTTACTCAGCTCCGCTACCCCGCAGGGTGGATAGCTATGGGCACTGCTCTCTGTGGATCTCACACTCAGAGCTGAGCCCACCATGGTTCATGCCATACATGAACCCCCAACGCAGAAGCACATGGTAAGCAAGTCTCACTATATGCAGCAAACACTGTGAGGCATCTGAGGCATTGGTGGCACACTTAGACAGCAAGGAAATCTGGTCCTTGGGTGACCAGAGAAAGCGGTCCAGGGACATCTCTGCCAAAAAGGAGAGTGAGCAGAATCTCCAGGGTAACACACAGCAGGTTTCCTGCAGGACCAGCAGGGGTCCGGGCCCAGGGGAAGGAGAAGCTGGCTGAGGACGGAGTGGGGAGGATCACAAAGCACACGGGCCTGGCGGCCTCTCACAACTTCCTCCCTACTCCAGAACCTTTTCATGCCAACAGAGCTGGCATGGCCCGCACACACACGGCCTTCTTGCTTCCACACACAAAGGGGAAGGCTTATGATTTCTCTGAGCGTGAACTATGGTCCCCCCTGCTTGGCCAGCCTCATGGATGACCCCTTTCATTGTTTTGAAAGGCTGGTGAAGCCTGCACGAATGCAAAATTGGAAATTTTGAAAGAAGCACTAAACACAGAAAAAAAGGGCTGGGTCAGGACCCTCCTAGGGTTCAAGAAACCTCCCCAGAGGTGAGGGACCCAGAGTCTTCAGCATCTCCTTTAGACTGCCAAGACCACTTCCAAAGGGCAGTCGGCCCCTCCCACCACAGGCACAAGGATTCAGTGGGTTCCTCTGGTTTTTCAGATACACAAAATAAGTGGCTGATCCTGGTTTTAAAAAAATAAACACTGTCCTCTACAATGGGCTTTACAGGCAAAAAGTGCTTTACAAGACACTGAGAAATTGAGTGTGAACAGATGAGAGACGAAAGAGAAATGTCTAAGTCAAAGGCACATGAGAAAGCATCTGAACTTAGCATGAAGACAGCTAAAAACAAGCAAGATGCCTTTAGGGTCTAAGATGGCAGATATCAAACGTTCTCTGCCTCTCCATTCTGCGCCTTGACAAAACATCATCAAGCCCTCTTATAGCTCTCCTTCCTGATGCATTCAAGCCAGTAAATCAGTGATCTCAGCAGCCACCAACAGACCACAGCTGGCTACCAAAGGGAACCAACATTCCATTAAGGGTGAGACAGGATACCATAGCCCCGCTGTGGGTTTGTACTGGCCAGGGGGAACTAGGTTAATGTTTAACCAGAGACAATTGCCATGAGAGAAATCAGAAGCTGCCAGGTTGCCGAAAGCTTCAGGCAATACCTCATGAGTTACCTTAGCTCAAGAGCCAGCCAGCCAGACAGACAGACAGACAATCTATCTATATATTCTATCTAGTGGCTTTGTCTGGGGCTCAGGGGAAGCTGGTGTTTGGCACAGGGAGGCAATAGCATTTAGGTATGAGCAGTATCCTCTGCATCTGACAGGAAAACCCCAGATGGGTCTCTTTCTGTGGTCAGGTTCAAAGTGCATTTGTCTTGAGCTCATCGGTCAGCCACAGGCACCCAAACTCCCATCCTTTATGCCAGGGAAATTCCAAACTGAGAGCCTCTCCAGAGTTTCCCAATGAAGTCCAATGACTTCCTGCCTCCACAACCAGAAGGCACATGCTCGTCCCTACCACTGCCTGCCTGCACAGCGCCTCCAGGTCATCTGTCCTGGACACAAGCTTCTTACCCTGTCTGTATTTTCATCCCCAAAACTGCAGAACTACTCAACTCCACCAGGTGCCATGGCTCTGGATTCTATCACGGAGTCCTGCTCTGTTTCTCTGAGGCAGTTACAATTTCAGTCACATAAATGCTTGACAGTAAAGCTACTGGGGGGGGGGGGGGGGCAGAAACTTTGACTCTCCAGTCTCCAGCCAAGCCACAGGAAGGTACACGAACTCCTCTGATCTTAGAAACTTTGACTATCCACACTGAATTCTCCCCACCTAGTCATGATAGAAATTTTAGTAATAAATAAGCTGCAAAAACAAGCTGAAGGAAAAACTTATTGCTTTAAATACATAAAGACTTTCGTGAACAAGAGTATTGGAGTTGAATGCCAGTGCTTTCTAATCTATGGGAGGAAAAGTGGAAAGCTGGTTTTATAGTGTCTATGCATTATTAAATAGAAAAATAATAATAGAATTTGAATTTATTTGTCTCTATCATCTACCAGAAACATCAACGGAAAAACTGAAAAAGAAAAGAAAAGACTCACATCTAAGAACCAAGCACAAAATAAATTGGAGAGGTCTTCAACTTTATAAAGCAGCCATTTTCCCTTCACTGACAAATGTGGTTTTCCAATCATGTCCAGTCAATCTCCAAGTCTCTGTTACTGCAAGTACTAAACTCTTTTCTTATACAGAATGACAAGCAAAATCAATCATTCTTGGTGTTCCTTTCCCAGAGCTATCTTACCAGGGATGTGGGATCCCCCATATGTGATGTTAACGTCGTAATCTCCTGGAGCAAACGGGATGTACTCAGCACTGCAGCTACCATCCTTGTTATCTCTGCAGTTTATCTTTGACTCTGAAGGTCCCTCGACAGTTATGCCAAGTCCACCAATTCCTGCCCCTCTGAAAAGTGTGGAAAAGTGAATAAAGTGATTTAAGCATTCATACAAGTCAGTTTATTTTTTAATTTATTTGATTAATTTTTTGTTGTTGTTGGTAATACTGGATCAAAACCAAGACCTCAAGCATTTGAGGCATGTGCTCTACCAGTGAGCTACATTTGCAGCTCAAAATTCCCTTGAAATCCATTTAATAAATACATCTTCTCACACAGTTTCTTCACTACCTATAAGATTAACAGACAGCTTTATCCCTTCCTATTCAATGCTTAACCTTCCTTTGTTTCTCTGATCTAACTGCATTGGTTAAAACTACAAGTCAGTTGTATCACTTCTGATCCATTTAAACAGCAATATTTCTGATATTTCATTTAAGGTGAGCCTGATTATACATTTTGGCATTATCATATTAAGAACACTCCTCCTGCTCCTGGTTTGATGACCAGTTTTGTGACGATTGTCCAGTGCTTCCTGTTACTTTTTAGGTATACCTAGTTTTTCTCTCTAATATATACCTCTACAGAAAATAATACCTTCCTAACACAACTCTTTAAAAATGTCTCTATGGGCCAGGCAGAGATCTCAAAGGGTTGGAGCATAGACTTTGCCTGTGGCAGCCTTGGCTTTGATACCCAGATCCACATGGTTCTCCCAGCACCAGGATCAGCCTCAGAGCACCTTCAGGTATATCCTATAACTCCCAAAAGAAACAAAAATCTCAAAAGTTGGGTGACAATACCTTGTCTGTAGAAAACATTGATAGAGCTTCTCTACACAATCAAACTATTGAGAGCCACTCTGTTGAGACATTAGTACAGACAGCAGGGACTTGCCTACCTGGTAATCACGGTAAAGACATTGGGCTTGTTGGTAAATCCTTCTTTCAATCCTGGTCCTTGGGCTTGAACCCGAGAGGGCTGGCAGCCTTCGGTTACAGCCACTTTGAAGGGACTGTTTGGGATGGGCACATCATCATATGTCACCTCTACCACATGGAGGCCTGTTGAAAACAGCAAATGTATTTGTACCCATTAAATAGTGCCCATGCTGAGGGGAATGACATTGAATTTCAGGGTTTTATCTAGAATGATGTCTACATGCCGTATACCAAACGATTTAAAACAACAACAAAAATCTGAAGGGGGCCTCTCAGGTATGCTCAGAAGGTTTGAGGGCCCCAACGGTGAGACTCAGTCATCTGGGCCAGTGCTTCTACCAGGACCTGAAGATGCCACACTGTTTGGGCCCTGGGGCACCAGGGATTACCTAGGCCACACCCAGAAATACCTGGGGATCCAGGGACTGAATCCAGGTTGGGTGCATGCTAAGGAGGTACCTTAATCCCAATACTATCCCCCAATCTATAGTATGTTACTTGAAAAGAGTCGGTTAAAGAAATTAGTGATATTAGTATATGACTAAAAGGAAATATAAACCTTATCTTTCTGTTCACTTGGAAACCCAAGAAAATATCACCAAATCTGTATTGAATTCATTATCTTAAATATACTACCCTGATTTGGGAAAACTCCTATTGTTCACTAACTAAAAGACATGAAGATACGAAACACACTTGTTCTACCAAAAGAAATGGAAATGTCTGTATCAAAATAGTTAGAGGATTATTTGTCCAGGTAATGGAGCTAAGGGATCCTTCTGTTTTTCTTTATGCTTTTATTATTATCCAAATGTTTAAAATAATTTTAATGGTTAGGAAATAAATTAATGTTTTTAAAAGTTGCACAAACAAGTGCCAGGGATGTGTTTCAAGTGGTCATGCAAATGCTACGTGCAGGGCCCTGGGTTTGATCCACAGCATTACATGTTCCCTCAGCCCCACCCAGCACCTCAGGTGGGTTTGGTGACCCCCAAACTCTCAGGACACAAACACAACCAGTTGAGCATGGCCGTGTGTGGCCCACAACAACAAAATCACATAAGTGAGCCGAGGCACTGTCCCTCAAAATGTTCAGAAGCAGAAGAGGGTATACGCTGGCCCATTCCCACCCTAAGGGCCAGCAAACCTGCCACGACACTCACTGCCAGTTTGTCTGGAGGGAGTTTCCACACTTCCCTGCTGCTTTTGCGCTAGTCCTACTGAGTCAGGTGGATCAAATACATGGGACAGTAGAATGCACCGAGAACTGGAAAGGCAGTGGCCCAGGACTCTGATGGCTTACGGTTCTGCCCAAGCAGAAGGCAACTCACCTTTCTCAAAGGGCGTGTACTCCACCTGGTAGGTCCCATCGGCATTGTCGGTGATGAAGCACTCGGTGGCGGCACCTGAGGGGTTGGCAATGTGGGCCTTGATGTGTTTGCCCCCCACCTTTGTCAGAGGCCTGGAGTCAATTGTGAAGTCAGTGGTAGCCTCACGAAACACATCTGCAGAGCAAGAACGAAGATTAAGAGCAGACCCCAGGGAGGGCAAAGTTCAGAGCTAAGGTTCTTGACATCTGAGAACCACTAAGTCTAACTTCAGTGATAGTAGGGGACAGTTTTTCTCACTCTCCAAGGCAGGAATATTAATGCCCAGCACCCCGGAAGTCCCAAAGAGGCCCCGTTGGGAAGCCTCAGCTTAGTAGCAGCACAACAGATCCTTATTGGGGGACAAAAAAGGGGCTCTAAAACAGACCAAAGGGTCAACAAAGACCTCTCTGCAGCAAAGGTTGTAGTAGCTAGAGTTACATCATGAGCCTTGAATTCAGTGACACAGATGAAAAAAGAAATATGCTTGAGTTTGCACATCAGGATTAAAATTTCTGTCTTTTCCAGAAAAAAAAAAAAAAGTGAAAATCTGCCGTGCTGGGCCTCTGGAAAAACTGGAAGCAGGTTCAGGGTCAGACCGAAGAAATGCCACATGCTCACCTCTTGGTGCCAGTCCCCTCTCCACCACCACCCCTGATGCAGCGGGCATAGGTTGGCACTTTCTCCTCTCTTGCCACATTCCCACAGGTATCTGAGTATGCACCCCTTCTCCTCAAGCATCTGGTGACCCCTAAGTCCCTTCTAAACTTCCGGCCTCTCTTATTTCTCACACCTACCTTTTCCTTCTATTCCTGGCCCGAAGACTTTGACTTTGCTGGTGTCCACGGCAGGGTCCACCTTGACGCGGGCAGGGAAGTGTGGCACGAGCTCCCCGCCGTATTTCATGGTCAGCGTATACATGCCCGCGGTCAGCGGCACATAGGTCACCGCGTACGTGCCGTCTTGGTTGTTCTCAATCCGGACTTCGGCCTTAGCCCCCGACTCTGAGACGGCCTCCAGGCCCAGGACCCCGGGCCCTGCTTCCGAACAGTCCACACTAAGCATCCCGGCTTCTCCCACTTTCCCATGCTCCAGGCCTGGTCCAGACGCCACCACTTTAGAAGGGTCGAAGGGCATCTCAATGTTGGCTTTGAAGGGAGAGCCAGGAATGTGCACGTCTTCAAAGAGAATGTTGACGAAGTATTCCCCTGGCTTGGTGGGGAGGTAGGAGACAGAGCAGGTCCCATCGCCGTTGTCAGAGCATTCGATTTTAGCCTCGCATGGACCTTCCACGGTCAAGCCCAAGCCTCCAGTTCCAGCCCCTTTGGTGTCGATGGTGAACTCGGCAGGTTTGCCCACAAGCCCACCTTTAAGGCCAGGACCTTGGGCCTTCACCTATTGGAAAAGAGAGCTGAAGCCAAACTCTGCCTCAGAGGGCTCCTCGGCCAGCAGCACTTTCAGGACTGGGCCTGTTATCAGTCCCAGGTCCTGTCTCAGAGGAGTGGCCTTCTCTCTGAGACTCGATTTGTGACAAACACCTTCCTACTGCTGTGAATGAGTGTCACAGGGCAGTGGATGGCGCAAATGGGTAACAGAAGCTAAGGGGCCAGGAAGAGAGTGCAGGAGGGGTGGGGGGTACATGTCTTGCATGTAGGAGGCACCGTTTGGCCTGAGAGTGAACGACCTGACAGTTTGATGCTCACGGCCACCAGGATTACACCTGGCAGAGCTCAGGGAGCCATGCGGTACCAGGGAGCAAACACACCAAGGCCTTGCACATGCAAGGTAAATGACCCACCGCTTGAGCTATCTCCTGGCCCAAGAACAGTATGTATATGTATATCACTATGTATATAGTAATGTATAATTATCAAATATATTATTTATATGTATATTACTATATATAATATACATATTTGAGGGGTAGGAAATGGGTTTTGTTTTTTGGATCATGCCCAGCAGTGCTCAGGAGCTACTTCTAGTGCTTGGGGGACCATTGTGGTATAAGGGATCAAACCTGGGTCCCAGCACGCAAAGCATGCACTCTAGCCCACTGAGCCATCTCCCCGGCTCGAGAGCTATTTTAGTTCTGCTTCAGATTTTACAGGCTGAGCTCTCTCGGCATGCTGAGCTGAGGCTGAAGCCTCCATAGTCACGGTCTCACCCCCCACTTTGAAGAGGACCCCACTATTATGGTGATGAGGAGAGAGCAGCAGTCTCATGGTGGAGAGGGAGAGGAGCCCCGGGGTGAGTCCAGCTCCCCAAAGGTCTCTGCACACTCACTTCTACAAGAGAATGCCTGCCAACCTTTGAGAGCAACTGTCAACACAAGACAATCATCAAACATCCTGGCCAGGCAGGATCAGAGACAGACTCCCTATCTGACCAAAGGGGACAGCTATCAGAACCCAAAACAGAAGCTCACCTTGGTGGGATCTGGTGGCAGAGAGGCTTCCACGGTGTAGGGACTCCGAGGTATGGGGTGTCCATCGTAGGTCACGTCCACGGCATAGATGCCCTCCTCCCGAGGAATAAACTTGGCCACATTGCTCTCTCGGCCTGTCATGGGTGACACCAGACAAGGCACCACCTTCCTCGAGGGGCTCAGGATGGTCACGTCCAACTTCCCCTGGCCTCCTGCTCCCTTGGTGTCAATGGTGAACTCCTGGTCCTTCCCAACCTCAACTCCTGGAAAACAAGCCAATGTGAGGATGAGGACTTTATCAGCAGCAAGAACAACTGTGGGCAGAGAATCAGTAGGTTCTGAAAATTGATTATGGGGGTTCGGCTGATTGAGCACAAAAACCAACATGGTGAAAGAAAGTAACCAGCATTTGGCCTCAATAACAACAGGTACAAGAAAATTAATTCATGATACAATACATAAAATTATTATTTACAAAATGCATTTTATATGTCAGGCATGAGGGTATGTCTTATTGTTTCCTTAATGTATGACCACAACATTATGGGGTATTTATCAGTAACCAATTTTTCTTTTAAAGATTTTTTTATTAGTAGTATTTTGCTCTGGAGGTCACACCCAGCAATGCTAAGGGTAGCTACTCCTGGCTCTGTACTCAGGAATTAGCCCTGGCATTGCTCAGGGGACCATATGGGATACCCAGGATCGAACCCAGGTTGGCCGCATGCAAGGCAAATGCCCTAGGTGCTGTACTATCACTCGAGTCCCAGTAACCAAGATTTTTATATTGGAGGAACTGAGGCAAAAAATGATCAATGAACTCATCTAGTGCTACAGATCCAGCAGACTGCAAAGTGAGGACTCAAATATATATATTTTTCTTTTCTCATCTGCTTTAATTTTGGGGCCACACCTGGCTGTGTTCAGGGCTTCTGACCCTATGCTCAGGGTTCACTCCTGGCTGTGCTGGGGAGATGGGGGCCCGTATGCAGTGTCAGGAGTCCAATCCCGGTCAGTTACATGCAAGGCCAGCACATTATCCACTGAACTTTCTCTCCCCTCCACTTGAAAATTTCTTGACATCACAATTTGTTTTGCTGCCAAGTGAAATACAACCTCATACTGTCATCTCTCCTTTACTTACTTTTGGCATTAACTTTATATTGACTTCTATAAGGCAATATTTTATCTACAAAGTCATGGCGACAAATTCTAACCCACAGCACTTCCAGGAAGGCAAATTTCCCAAATGGGTACTGAAGCAGCTCCTGAGAGCTGCCTCTCTCCCGTGCTGTTTTTGAAAGACGTTTGTAAAGCAGGGCCACCTGAAACCTATGTGTTCTATTTTGACAAATTCAGAATCACTTTGAACCACAACAAAGGCCTTTTTAGTGTAGATCCAGGAAACTCCTGGCAGCAATAAAGGACCTGCCAAGATAAATGCAGTCGAGCCGGGAGCACCAAGGGCCCACACTCTGCCTCCCCAAGGCCTTTCCTCATGGGCATCATGACTTTCCTGGTCTGGAGTTTAAAGGAGTGGTCAGTGGATATCAGAAGTGGTCAGGTAATGACCATCCTATGCTGAGGGCTGGCTATCCCTTGAGGGAAAAAAATAATCTCTCCTGCTTCAGAGACTCTCTGTTGGGGGAGGATGGAGTCGTTATTCAAAACTCAGATCTGGGATCAATACATCTGGATTTCATGTTAAGGGATTTCCTAATGATCTCACCAAGACTAGAGATATGCCCACCATGCCCAAGATGGAACAAAAGGCTTTCCCTGAGGGTATGCAGAGCCTCAGGTCACCCAGGAAGCCCCCCTGCATTCCAACAATGCAGAGAGGCCTGGGATAACCCCTCCCCCAGCAACACCTGTTCTCGGGTGTACACAGTTGGCTCTGCTGGCCAAGAAATGCCAGGAGGGCCCTGAGGTCTTCTGAGCATCACTTGAAAAGTTCCCCCAATTAAAAACAAAACAAAACAAAACCCCACATGAATGTGTAGTATGTGTATTAACTAGATCTCTAACAGGCTGAAAAAAAACAGGGCCGGGGACCACATTGCAGTCAGGTTCTGGTGTGTCACCTTGAGGAGCTGCTGGCATTGCATTGGCATGTTTTCCTTACAAAAGGAATCTTGGCACACAGCTTTCTGGAGCGTTTCTACTGGGCCAACTATCCGTAGCCACCGATTCCACAGAAGGGACAAGAGTCAAGCACATAGACCACCTCCCTGGCATGTAGGAAACACACTAACCCCATGCAGGGAAGGGTATCTGACCACTCACCCACACGACACACACGAGGGAACCGGAGTGGGGAGAGTGCGTGGCAAGGAGAGTCTGTTCAGACCCACGCCCCTCTGACTGCAAACTCTCTACAGTCAAGTTGGCCTCTCTGCAAATGATCTTTAGGAGGGGGTCTACAAGGCAGCACCAGCCAGTGGTTTTTAGTGACCCAACTCCTCTCCGTGTGTGCGTACTTACTGTTTTCCAGCCCGTTAATTTTTATCTTGTTCAGATCCAGCGGAGCAGCAACGCCCACAGTGAAAGGACTTTTGGGGATGGGATCACCGCCGTAGGTGACCAGCACCTGCATGCTGCCCTAGAATGACAGAAAACAACCAACATTCCTTTGGGGACCCTGACACAATCTGCTTCACATCTGTCTAAGTGAGCCCTCCCATTTTCATTTTTCTAAGACACTTGGGGTACTTGGCTCCTACAGATTTAAAGGGCACTTACAAAGGCATTCTCTAAACCTCTTGTAACATAACAAGAATGACAGAGGAACCAGATAGTGTAAGAAAAGCGGCTCATAACAATAGTGGCAACTTCTCAAGAATTTTGTGTTTGGGGCTTTCTTGCATTTCCTGAATGCAACCACAAAACGATCCTAAAGGGAAGTTCCTGTTGGAGTTCTCACTTTACCAGGAGGGAAAGGTCCACATTAAAGCGGGATGGTCACTTGTCCCCAGTCACACACTGCTAAATTTGTCTGCTGGGGCTTCACCCCTTAGAAGCTAAACCCGCACCCTAGCTGCTCCTCCACCGACAGTGTCATACTCTGTCCCACCCCAAAACCCAGCACCACCCAAACCCAGCACCACCCAAACCCCCCATGGCAAAAACAGATGGACTTGGGGTTCTCTATTCAAAAGCCATTTCCCCTCTAGATCCTGGAAATCCATTTCAGGTCCCTGAACAGGAAAGGGATTTGCAGAAGCTTATCTGCAGCTAAGATCCCCAGAGGGGGTCAAGCTCCTGAATCTGTATCAGGGAAAGAGGAAATAAAGGTCACAATGTGAAGAGAGACTGTGCCCACAAGCCGGCCAGCCCCCTCACTCTGCTGCCCAGGTAGCCACAGCCACAGAGGTGTGGCATGGCCATATGTGGCAGAACTGCCTATTCTAGGGCCAGTCCTGACACACTGATGGCTTCCCCATCACTGCAAGACAGTTCTCCCTGCTCCAAACCAAGGCGCCATGAAAGCCCACAGCTGACTCAGGAGACAGACCCTCCTCACTTCTGGGAACACAGAGAGGGAGAACAGCAGCACAGGGAGAAACGCATCCCCCCACCAGATCTGGCAGGCTTCCTGGAATCTTGTCCCTGAGTAAAGCTGTTGCTGACTGAGTGTTCAGAGGGTGTAGCTTTTGGCTATGTGTTTTTTCTCACATTCCTTTTGTAATAGCGGAAAAGCACTAAGAAACAAATTGGTTGCGTCAATGAAGGAGGGAGGATGGATTTTCCAAGATTAGCACCGCAAACAAAACCAACTTGTCCTCTACCTGGAGGATGAAACACTGCATGGCAATGTTTTATTATTTATTATTATTTAGTTAGTTGTTATTTATTCTCAGCTTTGAGGGAGCTGAGAATGGGTCAGGGGAGGAAAACCTGAGTGCTCTGGACTGCGTGAGGTGAGGTCTGGGCTTTGGAGCTAACCCCGGGGTTAGCTGAACCTCTCCACCATCCCCTATTTTCTAATCGCTTCTCTGAAGCAGCAAAGCAGAGAGCATGAGTCCTCTCTGAGCTGGCCCACTCAGGTCTCAGAGAAGGAAGTTCTCTTGTCACTAGCAACAAAACCCAAAACTCAAACTCTATAGGAGACTTTGCCTTAAGCAGTCTCATAGAGGGCAGGAAGGAATCTTAGAGATTTACACCTTGGATGGCCACTAGCCTCAGAAGGTTTCATCTGACTCTTGAGTCAAGGCCAGAGCTCCACCCCAGGGGCCACGAAGGGAGTGACCACAGCATCGTCCAGCAGCACTGGCTGAGGGACAGTTATGTTCTCTTTTCAAGGGCTTGAGATTGTAATCTCACTTTTCAAACCTCCTGTCCAGGAGACCCTGACCTGAACCTTAATGAGAGGCTAAGACTGGGAGGCACCCACTGAGCCAGCTACCAGCAGTCAGAGTCAGGGTCAAGACCGATCTCCTGTGAGGCTCACCAAATTCACTGCACTCATGGCTTCCTGAAAGGCGCCATGGTAACATGTGACAGTCTCAGTTCCCAGGTGGCCCTTGTAAGGTAGGGGAGCACCTGAAGGCTGGCACTCAGGGATCCCGGAGGTGATGGTGAGCAAAGGCTGGCATCTCACTCAGCAATGTGGCTCTAAAGAAAAGGCGCTCACCCTGACAAGGATCACCTCCCTCTCTCCATTTACACCATTTCTGGAAAGTTCCAGCCTGCTATTTCTTAAAAGCATCAGGAGAAGGTGTGGCAGGGGGAGTCTGTCCTGAAAGCATGCTCCCCGCCTCCGTGTTGGTGCACGGCTCTCTGAGTTATCCTGGGCCTCTAAACCACATCCAAGAGCACAGCTCAAAGGACATGCTTCTTTAAACCCAAGCTTGAGGCTGTTAGCTGCTCTTCAGAAAAGGGAGTTCAAAGGAGAATGAGCATGTGCTGGCCCTTTTCTAACAGATCACAATGTTTTAATGCTGCCTCTGCTTGTGAGTGGAGCTTTGACTTCATTTATTCACTCTTTGGGTCATAAATGGAGAGGGAGCAACAACAGCCTCGGACCTGAGCTCCAGGATGCACAGGGAAAGAAGACTACAGAAGATCTGTGGACAATGCTGTCCTGTTAGTGCACGAGGAAAAGATTTCTGACTGAGGACACTGTGTGAAGCCTGCATTCTCTCCCTTTGTCTGACTGGATTTCCTCTTGAGTCCCGGGGTTTCCTTTCTCTTCCCACAGATGTGCACATTAGGCTAATGGTTAATGCAATCGAGCTGGGACACCAAGAGATCTCAGTGTGTGTATATGTGAACAGGTGTATGTGACCAAGTGTATGTGTGTATTTAACTTGTCCCATTCTGTGAATGTCTGTGAGCATATGTGTATGTGTATGAACAGGTGTGTATATGTGTGTCTAAATTGTTCCAGCCTGCGTGTGTGAATTTATGTGTGCATGTGTATGTGAACATATGTGTCTGAATTGTGCCATTCTGTATTTGAATGTGTGAGCTTGCGTATGTTTGAGTGTGTGAATATGCGTAAGCGTGAGTATATGTGAACATATATATGATATGATGTGTGTACGTGTGTGTGTGTGTGTGTGTGTGCATACACTGCATGGAAAGACGGAAAGGCATAAAGTCAGGGGTTGATTTCTGCTTTGTGTCCTGAGTTGCTGGGATAGGATCCAGCTACCCAGGGAATTGAACTTGAAACAAGTAGGTAGGCAAATAAATGAGCAAATAAATTAAAAATGTAAGTGTGTGGGGTCTTTTTTTTAGAAGTCTGATGATGGTTTTGTAACTAGGAATATACCCTAAAAACTTAACTAGTGCTTATATCCACCATTCTATGGTAAAACTGGCTATAGAATATGTCATTTTTCTGCAAGCTGCGAGTCTAAGACCCTATCAATATGGCTGAGGGCTGGATGATACTTATATCTACACTTATGTGAAACTTGATATTAAATCCTTGGGGGATTAATTCACAATCCAATCTGTGAATTTAATTTGCCTTTGTTGCCATAACAAAACATGCAAAATTGCAAATTAGGAAAAAAAAAAGAAAAATCTTGCTCTGAACAATGAACTACAAGGACCTCAGAGACACTGAGTGAGTCGTTCACACTGGAGGCAGCAACTGAGACCAAGTCTCTGCCAGATTCCTTGGGCCTGGCAAAGAGCCCTGCTGAGCGTGCCGACAGCCCTCACGCCTGCTGCTTCCAGAGAACTGGATGAACTTGACTCTGAAACATGGAGAATAAACATCCAGCTTAACTGCACCAGTGACAAAATGGGACACCAGCTTCCAACCTCTAATGCTGACTTTACCTGCACTGAGGAACATACAGGGCAACAAAGTCAATTCCAGGGGTGCAGAACCTGAACCTGTCCCAGCGTTTGTGACTTGCTTTTGAGTGACTCAGCCAGAACACAAGATGGCATATGAATACCAAAGATAGCAAGAGTCTCTGAAAGTGTGTGACAAGAGACTGTGAAACCATGCGATCTCGACTGGCACGCATGGCTATGGCAATCCCGCACGTACTACCAACAGAATGAACCTGGCTTCTCAGCATCCCCAGAGAGGTTCAGAATGAAAGACAGGAAGGAGCTGTCTCCCAGAGGGGCACTTCAGCAGAACTCATGGCACCTTAGTGGAAGCTCCTGGCACCCTCATGGGAAGCCAGCAGGGGGCTGAGGGGACAGGAAGGCCCCTACCTGCTGAATGGGTGTGTATTTAACAGTGTGGGAGTAGTCATAGTTGTCGATGATGTCTAAATCCTTCACCGCCTCGCCAGGCACAGGGCTGCTGAACTGCACGTTGAGTGGGGCTTTTCCAGCTCCCTTAGTATACACAGTGAAGTGGGTCGGTTTCCCATTTTCTACACCTGGAAGGAGAAACTCGTGAGGTGAGGAGACAAGACAGGCTGCCATGCTTTCACTTTTATAACCAGTCTGACAGGTTCAACAGCGCCTGATGAGGGGGCTCTCAGGCACCTCCGCACAGTTCAGGAGCATCTTCCCAGGGAATTGACCTGAAGACAAGAGTCCTGGCCACTGGCTAGCGGCCCTGCTCCCGGAGCCTCACCCACCACCTTACCTGCTCTGCTGAGCCCGGGGCCTTCTGCCTTGACTTTGCTGGCATCATGGGAAGGGTCGACTTTGACTCGGAAAGGACTGGCGGGGATTTCCTGGAGGAGAGACAGTGTCTCAGTAGGAAAGTCCCCGAAAGCAACTGCCAGAATTTAGCCTTCAGCCCAAATGCAAAGGAGGGAAGCCTCAGGCCAGTCTAAACCTTACTGGGTGTTGAGTCGACCCAAGGTCATACTCCAGTCTCAGGTAAGGACTCCAACAGGGGAGTCACTAAGGCCTGAACCCCCTGAAATCACAGGCTTTGACTCATTTTCCGTACAGATGCAGGAATATTTCCCATAAAAATATCTGAGAATTGAGGCTTTCGCATCAAATGTTGAATATTTATAAGGCAAAGGGAGAAAAAGAGACTAAAGTCCATGACAACATATGGAGTCTGGGGGAAGAAAAACTCTTCCAGGGCAAGCTGAGAACTGAGGTTTGGAGAATGCAAGGAACTGGTTGGTCAGAAGAAGGATAAAGACAGAACAAATAACTAAATGAAATCAACAAGACCAGCACCTTTGAGGCACAGAACTTTCTCCTAAGGTTTTCTATTTTTCAAAAAAGATAAATTTGAATGATTTTTGTTGCTCCATTTTAAGTTACTGCATACTATATTATCATGAGTGAATATTAATTCTACCAGATATTTCAACACTTCTCTACCTTAAGGCTGAGGCTAAAGTCATTGCTTCAAAGGGACTGAAGTACAAGATATCTAGAAGTTAATCATTTCAATCAAAACTTTGAGGGAAGGGGCCAAAAAGATAGTAGGTAGAGGCGGTAAGACACTTGCGTTGGTTGGAGTCAACCCATTTAATCCCTTGTACCACAACAATTTACCCGTCCCCCCTGCAAGTCCCACCAAGGGCCATTCTTAAGCACAGAGCCAGGAGTTGTTCCTGAGCACTGTCGTCATGAGTGGGGCAAATTTAGGCCCCACTCCCACCTCCCCCCCCCAAAAAAAAAGACTCGAGGAAAGTTTATAGTTTATGAAACGCCAGTCTCTAGCTGGAATGTGGAAGACTCCACTCTTCACTTTTGCTTGAAAGCAGTAAAATGTTGGTTTTACTTAGTTTTACTGGGTGTTTCCTTCTTGATTTTGTGGAACCAGAGGAAAACACTGGAGCAGAGTGTTCTACTCCTCCTCTTCCCGGTTGCTAAAACCACGAAAGAAAGAAAGAAAGGAACAGGAGGCGGAAGGCCTGCAGGTGCAGACACGCACCTGTGTGGCAAAGAGAACTTTGATGGTGTATCGCCCAGCCGCAGGAGGCATGTATTTGACAGTGAAGGTGTCGTTGGCATTTTGAATAATGTCAAAATCCACGTCTTCCTCATCCTCACTTAATACACGGGCATCGCATTTAATGCCAACGCTGACATCACCTGAAACAGACCAGTTGATTAGCACCAGTTTACAAGAAACAGCATGTCTTGAGCAATCACTGCCTGCTCAGGGAAACACCCAAAAACGCAACTGGCTGGTTTTCAGTAAGAAGCCTGAGAACGGGACAGTGGCAAAACAGGGTTTGGGAGAAGCAAGAGGGATTAGCAAAGATATCACCAGGGAATTGACACATACCCATCAGTAAATAATTCCCAACTCAGATGGACTATTTCTGGCTCAAAGTGTACCACACTTGAAAGAACTTTCTTCCCTAAGGAGTCACTGCCCTGATGGAGAACCCCCTCACCTTCTCCAGCCTCAGTGCAGTCCACTGTGAAGTGAGTTGGCTCATTTGCCTTCAGCCCGCTTCTCTCCACGCCGGGCCCAAATACTTTCACCTTCTGGGGATGGCTACCCTGTCCGATATTGACCTAGAGAAGACAAGGAGAAAGTTGTGATCAAGATGCCTCCACTTGACATTGAATGCCTGTAACAAATCATCATGAACAATTCTGTAAACCAAAGTGTTCGGATAAACTGTAAGGGGGAAATTGGAAAAAAAATCAATGAGTGAATTAAATTTTTAAAAGAGTCATCCACTAGGACCCAGGAAATTATTGTTAGTTAATATTCTTGCTAGATCTAGGGAGCAGTCTCGTGCACTCTGACCTTCAGACCACGCCATATTCCACGGAACTCCCAAGGAAGGATCTTTCTATATAACTAACTGACTTCATTCTTGGGTCTAGTATCAAAGCTGACCAGACTTTCTTCTACAGCAGGCTGGACGCCATTTCACCACCTACCCTGTAGGGACTGTGTGGAATGTTCACACCTCCCCAGACCACGGCAATCGTATGCTTGATGGCCTTCACTGGGGTATACGAGCAGGCATAGGTGCCATCCATCTGGCTCTTCATCTGGACGTCAATAGGATTTCCATCTCCGTCCTATAAAACGAGAAGGAGCTAAGAACAGAGCTGGTCCTCACACCGCCTTCATCCAACACACAGTGCACTCACTCACCAAACAAACCTTCAAGTACTGACTATGACAGGTCATGTTCTCCAAGCCAATGATCCCAGGTGATAGACTATTACATGCATTTACTTATTTTTAATTACTAAGAGTAAATTAAAAGTAATTTTTTTGCTTGTTTGTTTGTTTGTCAAGTCCAAACAAAAGCTATGGGCACTTGCTGCTTAATTTTAGTTCCTTCGCTAAATCCTTTGGACACATTTAAGTACATTAGGTAAACACTGTTTAAAAATTTTTTTTAAATTTTTGGGTCACATCCAGTAATGCTCAGGGGTTACTCCTGGTTCATGCACTTGGGAATTACTCCTGGCGGTGCTCAGGGAACCATATGGGATACTGAGAATCAAACCCAGCCACGTGCAAGGCAAATGCCCTACTTGCTGTGCTACTGCTCCAGCTCCCGTTTAACGATTTCTTGTTTATAAACCTCCCACTCTGAATTAGGTAGCTTCAGTCATACTGAAGGATGTTTACAAGGAATTCCCAAGAAATCAAGCCTTGATTGCACAGAATATAAATCATAAGGATGAGAAAGATCACCCTACTTTATGTGCTGAAATATTCCTTAGTTTCCATATAGCATCATCAGAAAAGTATGCTTATTCCCGTTTATGGATGAGGAACCTGAGGATTAGATGCACTGAGAAGTTTTGCCCATGAAGTAATGAATTGTGTCATTTGACAATTATCTGCACAGGGGCCCCTGGAAATTTACCTGAGCCATTATCTTTAAGGGAGCTTTTCCAGCATCCTTTGGATCCACGACGAACTCAGCCACGTTGTTGACAATACATCCAGATTTTTCCAAACCTGGTCCATATGCTTGGACCTGGGACAAAGCACCAGTAATGAGTGTTTTTCTGTGGAATGCCCCAGTTAAATTTCTATATGAAGATGAATGACTAAGGACTGGGGGAGAAACATAAAAACTTGGGTCTGGTTTCACAATACCTAAAGAACAGGATGGTTATGGAAAGGAAAATGCCAAGATGGCCTTCACTTAAAAATGGAAAACACTATCATTAAATTATCATGAGAGAGAAAACTCCCTGAAAAAAAGTCTGGGCTTTGCCTTATTTTGATCTGATAAAATAGAATTTATAGGAGCGGGGGCTGGGGCTTCTAGTCATGTCCAGTTTGAAGAAATTTCAAAACATTTAGCACAGAGTTTCCAAAAATTTGCAATCCTGGAGTGTGAAGGATCAGTAGTTGGCCAAAGTGGGAGAATTACCAGTCCAAGTCAAAATCAGTCTAAGTACAAATGCCCAACACAACCACCGAAGATCGGGGCAGGGGCGGGGGAAGAGGGGGAAGGAGTGGCCTTCTTCACCAGCAAGCTGGCTAACTCAACACTGATTAACCTGCTAGGCATTTGAGAGAAGCTCTTGGCAGCACTGCAAACACTGTTACTTCCTTAAATTACCCCTGAAACTCTTAAAGCAAAGGAGGCCGTTACCAAGTCCATTCGAGAGAAGAGTCGGAGAGCTAAGTTTCTTGCCTCAGTATTGTGTGGTGCACTAGGATTTCAGTTCATGTCTATTTCCCTCCTGAGCTCTAAATGTTTCCCTCCTAACCTCACAGCTCACACCCATCTCACAATACCCAGGAGAGTGTTAGGAGCAAGGAAAGAGATGATAGAAACATGATGAGGTGATTCACCAGATCTGAGTTGTAGTCTCCCGAAGCCGGTTGGATGAAGACCATGTACGGACTGTCTCTGATGTCCTCATCATCACACATGATGTGAACGGCATATTCACCAGGCTCCTTGGGCCAGTACTTGACATCACATGATCCATCATTCTGGTCATCATAATCAATTTTCGCTTGGGAGGGGCCTTCAATGGCAAACCCTGGGGGATAAAGGGGAAGGAACTCCCATTACATGGTAGAAAGAACCAAGTCATTTCACTCCCTCTGCTTCACTAAAAGCCAAGTATTGTCAGGGGATTAAAATTTGTTTGTGTTCCTTTCCCACAAAACCAAGCCTACTAGATCTTTGCTAGAAATGGAAAGGCTCAAATTGATACATTTAAAAAATATCTTCCAATGAGGAAGAGCAATATTTTCTGTTGGCAAAATGGATGCAAATATCAAAGCCTTAAACCACTGTCTACCATTTGTTTTAGCAGATCCACTTCTGGGTTTCCATTTGAAGAAAATAACCAAGAATATGTGTAAATATACACAAAAATGCAGGACATGTATTCAGCCTTGTTTTTCATAGCAAAATCTTGAAAATAACCAGAGAACCTAACAGTAAACACATTCCTGTGATGAAATTACATGAGAGCCGGGGACAAATCAAAACATATCCTGTATTTATCTAAGGCAGAAAGATATAAAGACTTCTTCCAGATATTTTGACAGATTATTATTTATATCTAAATGTATATGTGTAAAAATATATATACATATATATATAAAGGCCTGAGGATGTATACTAAGATATCGTATGATTTCTAGTCTACATGGATAGCTTTCTCAAAGGGAAAAATTACATGTGAGTGCCATTTTCTCTTTATTTTTATTATCTAAAAACAGAGGTGACCAAACTTTGTTGGGTCACATCTTACCCATTGTCTGTTTTTGTATATATGGTTCTACTGGAAGTCAGCCATGCTACTTTGTTTATTATGTAATTTCTATGACTTCTTTCAAGCTCCAACTGCATAGAATAGTTGTGACAGAGTATGATCCACAATACTAAAATATCTGTTTTCTTGGACCATTGTAGAGATATTAGTCCTGATCACTAATCTGATAGAGATGCATTATGTAAATTAAATTCTGCTATGCTTCAAAGAATATTTACTTCCCAAACTTCTAATTTCAACAAAGTTTACTCATTCATCCAAACTAAGGCTCAATTGAGGATACTTGCTTAATGCCAACTATGGCCATGCACTGTTTCAGCAGTTTTGCTGAGAAGGTCTCTGCCCTGTAGATGGATAAATGAATGAATGATGCTGCCCAAGGCAGAGGTCATCCTGAAGGAAGGAGGAAAGCAATAATTGAAGTTTGACAGCAATATCTAGAGGTGGTTTTGGGTGATCAAAAGGCCAAGAGATTAAGGGCTGTAAAGAAGTTCAGAGTCTAAAACCCAACTTGACTGTTAATCCAGGTACCCTATAATCTCAGTCCTTAGAGAGCACTGGCCAGGGATTTTCACTTACCAAGAGATCCCACTTCAGAGCCAATGGACTCTACCACAAAGTCTGCCGATCGGCCAACAACACCACCATGGAGCCCAGGACCCCAAGCACGGACTTTCTGCATGCCTGCTTCAGGACCAACTTGAACTTCAAAGGGACTGTGGGGAAAGGGAACAGAAGCAACATTAAAGAGGAACAAAGATGGGGCTGAACACAGCCCCTTCATTCATTCTTTCCACTTGCCTGCTCCATCTCCAGCCATGCCTCTTCTTTATGCAGCTCTCCCTCAGCCATTGTTATGTCAACAATATAATGCAATGTGATTGCTTTGGGGCAGAACAGGTTGGCACTGTGGCCACATGTCTTGCGCTATGCTTTTGGTCATGTATCTGTTAGGTTTGGGGCTCTTCATAGTCTGGGGTCTGGCAGGCAAGTGAGCCCATACTTTTCCACATCCTTCCACATCCTTCCATATCCTGCTTGAGTTAGAACAAGGAAGCTAGGCTGAGCAGATAATGAATAGGCACCTTAAGTTGATGCAGAGACTATAATAGAGTTTTCTCAGATTCTCAGAACTCTCTAATGCCTACTTCTCCAAGTAAAATGAGTTTATTCAAAGTTTAAGGAAGAGTTCTGAAGAAACAGTACAGAGGTAAAGATATTTGCCTGGCCTGCAGCTGATCCTGGTTCAATCCCCAACCCCAATTTAATCCCTGGTACCAGCAACTTGTGAGCAGAGTTAGGAATGGACCCTGAGCCCTATTGGGTGTGACCCAAACTACCCCCCACCCCACCCTCACAGTAGAGAGCAATGGCAACACCCATAAAGCAGGGTTGGAGAAGGATTTCCTTGGTTCCTGACTACGTGGATGTAGAGGGTTTTAACATAAACCACTGAAGACTACACCTACACTCTCACACACACACACACACACACCTAAACACAGGTACACATTAAAAGAAGGGGAATCTCAGTTCAGAGAAGTGTGTACAGACACTCAGCCCATTTGCTCTCTATTACTGCTCCTCCGGTTTCCCTGCCTCCCACCAGCCCTAAACCACCAGCAGTTAGTTTAAAGCAAGGCAGCCAAAACCACAGCAACTTTCTGCTGCTTTTGAGACTAAGCCAAATGTCTGTGTGCTGCTCTGAAAGGGACAAAAAAAAAAGGCTTTCAACAAAGCAGATCCCTTTCCCTTCTGCAGTCCAGGAAGCAAGTGCCCGACTGAGCAAGTTCTGCGGAAGATGCAACCCCAGCTGGAAACTCACCTCTTTGGAATGTGGTGTCCCCCCCAAGTGATGGCAATGCTGTATTTCCCTGGGGTGCTGGGATAGTACTCAAATGCATAGACTCCTTCCAGAAAGCCCTTCTGCTTCACCAGCTCCTCCAGCCCCTCTGTGGGAAGGAAGCACACAGGTTTTTGAAGGCAATTCTAGACTTAGAAGGATGACACTCGAAAAAATAAGACGAACCAGCAAGAGCCACAACATATAAGCTTTAGGGAGACCAAGGGGGCTGTTTTTAAGTGTGGGTCCCTCAAAAGCTGGGAAACTACTCCAACCTGAAAATGGTCTTGTTTCTCCTTCAGAATGGAGGGAAATGGGAGATGTTTCAGTAACCAGGCCTCTCAGCTATGAGGTCCTGATCTTTCCGAGTGAGTCTACATAAAGACAAGTTAGCCAATATCTTAACCTTTCCCAAACTTTCCCCCACCTTTCCAGGGATTTCTTAGCACTCCCCCCACCCCCCACCTTGACAAAAACTAGAGAGGGAGTAAATCCTTATAACTATCTGGCTTGAGTTTCAGGCCCGCATCTGGCATATCTTTCTCAACTAAAGCCACACAACGGAAGTAGGAAAGTCACATCAGCTGTGTGCGGGAGGCAGGTCTCAGATGCCACACTACAAACTCCCCTGCACCATCAGGAAAGAACTTGTTTTCTATTGAGCCTTGAGGTTTGGCTGGGGAAGCTACTCATTTAAGTGAGAATTCAAGGTCAAGGAAAACAAAAACACAAACAAAAAAGAGGCCTTGGCTCCTGTAGCAACCTGTGTCTGTGTGTGTGTGGGTGGGGAAGGTGCCGATTTGGGGGTGGGGGTGGGGGTGGGGTGGGGGGAACGACAGCCCCAGAGCCACATGGTTCCAGTTCTGGGCAATCTAGAATGTTGGCACCCTGGGGAAGTTCCAGCCCATCCTCCCCGCCGCCCTCCCCCCCAATCCCCCCACACACTCCTTGGTACTTTCACATCAGATAGGAACTAGGAACTTTCCAGAACTCAGTGTACGCCTGCCCCAGCCTGTCTGAAACACAGGAGGAAAGAGCAGTCCTGGCGCAGTGGGAGAGTGGGAACACCGCGGGAAGTGGAACCGCCAAGAGCAGCGAGACCAACAGCCCAAGACCCTGAGCTGAGACACTGCTCAGTGTAAAATTCAAGGGTAGGAGAGACAACATCTTCCTCGAGTGTGCCGTCTCCTTCAGCAAAAGGGGGAGCAAGAAATGAGTTGTAGGGTGCCTCCCACCGCTGGGCAAATGGCATTTATCTACAAAGAAAACTTAACGTCAGGGAATTTTATTTCCTTCTGTAAGTACCGATCATAGTAATTAGGTATGTGCCATAATTTTATAGACTATAAAAGTGTGACCTGTTTGGGGGAGATGACTGGCTGCGGAGACAGTGCTTGAATCCTAGCTTAGATACTACAGGCTGTTTGGTTGTTTGACCTGACACAAGACTTCCTCTCTGAACCGAGGCTTCCTCAAAGTGTGTGTATGGGTGTGTGTGTGGGGGGGAGGGGGAAGGGTTTTTTCAGGTGGTTATTCCAACAACAGCCTTTCCCAAATCCAGCACATCACCACTTTTTCCAGCCTCGGAAGCTATGACATAAAATGAAGCTCCAAGTCACCATTATTCTTGCCTGTCCCAGGCAGACATCACTAAATGATCACTGTTTTCTTTCCCACGAAGTCCAGGGAGACTCAAGTTTCTAAGTCACCATTATTCTTGCCTGTCCCAGGCAGACATCACTAAATGATCACTGTTTTCTTTCCCACGAAGTCCAGGGAGACTCAAGTTTCTAACACAGATGGAAGCCAAAGGGTTCAACTAGCTGAAATCACACTTGAGACAGGGAAAAGAAAGGCGTACTTACTAGGCCCCTTCACAGTCACGCTGAGCTCCCCGCTCCCAGCAGCTTTGGTGTCAACTTTGAAGTCGGCAGTCTCCCGGATGCGAACGCCTTTGGGCTGCAGGCCTCGGCCACTGGCCCGACAGGCATTTGGACTGCAGGCTGCAAGCAGAGATGCAACTTGAATTCAAGATCACTTATAGCCACCCGCCAAGAAAATGTTTGTTTTGCACAAAGACTGTGTAGCCTTCACCTCCACCCAGGGGGTCCCATTCAGGGAACATACCAGATTAGCAAATGAGGATACAACCTAACTTTGTCTAGCCACACCACAAAGAGACTGGAGAAAAGTGACTTTGGCGAAGGAAGCAGGAGAGCACAGCATGGATTTGCTTTGCTCTGGTACCCTCTGAATCCTGGTGTCCACCCTGTCAGTGACAAGGGTTAAGACCTAGTGCTGGATGTAGCTCAATCATCATTGCCATACTCAAGGGCCCAGTAATTGGGAAGACTGGGCTTTTTAAATTGATCTGAGAAAAAAGTCTGATTGGATTCCAAACTTTGGACCAGTCTTTTTAATTTTCATTTACTGGTTTTGTTTTGGAGCCCCACACAAATGTGCTCAGGGGTTACTCCTGGCTCCAAACTCAGGAATTACTCCTGGTAGGTCTCAGAGAACCATATGAGGCGCGAGAGATTGAACCTGGGTCAACCAAATGCAAGGCAAGCACCCTCCCTGCTGTACTGTCACTCTGGCTCCAAGGGCCAGTCATTTTCATTTTAAAGTCTAAATATTACCAGCTTCTGCCTGAAGAACCAAAGGATTAACTTCAAAAAAAGACCAGTTTAATCTCAATTGTCACAGGAGACAACATTTTTGTGCTCTGTTACACAGATCCTCATAAATAGTGCAACTAGAAATGCATCAACTAGAAAGATAATTCTCACTTTGATTTCTGGTTCTTGTGAAAAAAAAAAAAAGATAGAAGACAAAGCCTAAAGTTGTAAATCTAAAAATTAAGGACAAAGGTAGTTTCTATTATTTTTTGAGTGAAAGATCCATGAAACTATTCCCAGGGAAATAAAAGAAGGTTGATCTGTTCCCTAGATATTCTTTGCCTGTGTGTGTGAAATCTCATTAAATATAGAAAATCTGAGAGGAAAGGGTAAAAATGGCACATTATTATCTGGAAATCCAGCATTGCACATTGACATTGTGTGTGTGCGTGTGTGTGTATGTGTGTGTGTATAAGAGAGCAAGAGTGTGTGTGTGTGTGTGATGTGAGAGGGAGGGGCATCCTCTAGAGATACAGAGAGACATCCTCTAGAAAAAATGATTCCACTCCACAGAAGGAAGGAAGGGAATTCTTCACTGCTTCCTCCACCCTGCAACATCCTTATCTGGTCATTTTACAAACTCCCTCCTCAGAGTCAGAGATGATTTTATATAATTTGTGGATAAACATAAATTTATAGTAGCACTTCATTAGCAAGTAAACTTTCTTTCCCAGTGTGTAAGTTATATAGTTTCTTTTTCGCATAAAGCAAAAACAAAAACAAGAGGTGCATCCAAAGAAAAATTTATTAAACACTAAGTAGAATGAGTGATGATGGATATTCCAGAAATGAGAAAGATAAACTGTGTGAGAGAGAGGCACTCAACTGAGGAAAATTGTTCAACATTCTTTTTGTATTATATTAAAAGTTTTGCTTAAAAATACGTTGGTTATTTTCTTTTCCTGTCAATGGGAGAAAATTTGATTATGCCAGCAATACAGGGGATGACAGGAGTTTCCTTAGAGAGTGTTTTAAATGTGTCTCAAAAACACAAAAATAAAACAACAAAAACCAAACACTAATAAAAAGCCTGAACATGAACGATAGCCTCAGCATGAAAAGAGTAACTACCCAGTTCATGTAAACACTGAACGGAGCAAAAGAGCATGAGGGAAGTCACCACTTGGAGAGGTCTTAGAGATGTGTCCATGTCTATTTAGAGTGGGTTTGGGTCCTGGCTGGGCAAGTTTCAGTAATACCTGGCCGGGGATTTCCTGAGGTCACACACAGCTGACCTTTGCAGGCAACACAAAGAAGTGGCAAGGAAACCCCACCCCACCAGCCCTTACCCAGTGAGATGGCCCAGTGCTCTCCACTAGGCAGCCAGCAGCTTTGGGGGTCCAGGCTGGCCAGAGGCAGGATTCAGAAGAGAAAGCCAGGTGTGCAGATGCAGATGCAGAGGACAGAACAGCGAAAGGCAAGTACCGGTTAGAAAGGGCAGCTGAGTTGGGAGCTTAGAAAAAGCCACTGTCAGAGGGGAAAAGGAGTCCAATATTAGAGAATGACACATGTTGCTGCTGTAGAGGGAATTTAACAATGAAGAGACCTGGGTTTTACTCTTGCTAAGGTCAGCAAAGACTCACTGAGGCCCACGTTATCTCAGCCTCTGTGTCTCCAGCTTAAAGAAATAACAGCAGAAGGAACTCGCAGGCTGGCACGATGACTGGACGCCGTTGTGCTCAACTTAGAGCCTGGCAGCCAGGAATGGCCAAACTATGGAGGGTACAGGGCACCAGCAATGCCTATGCTGTGACCTCAGCCACAGAGGCCCCATCCTCAACAGGCCTCCGTCCTGCATCTCTCTGTGAGGAGACTTCCAAAACAGAAGAGTAGTTGGGTAGCATTGAACAACTCAAGACAAGTCAACTACCTAGGTCACTGCAGGGCTCATAGGATGTTAGTTATCGTGTCTTCAGGTAAAAATAAGAAACTTCCCACCTAAGAGGCCCTGGTGGAATGGGGAGAGTCCAAGGGCAATGTTGGGTTCCCGCCTCATAGCCCAGCTCAGCTCAAAGCTAGAAGCCCAAGTTGTTATCACTCACCTTCCCCAATATGCACGGCAAAAGGACTCTTGGGAATGGTGTCCCCAGCAAAGGAGACCTTGACCACATGGGGGCCGGGCTGCAGTGGTTTGTACACGCATCGATAGACCTGGTTTCCTTTGTCTTCCACAACCAACTCTATGACATTCTTTCCTTGGGGATCTTCTACCTCCACAATAATGTCACCCACGCCGGCACCTGTGACAAAGTGAAAACCCCACAAGTCCAATTCAGCTTCTCAGTATGAGAATCAGAGCAGATACAAAATGCAAACAGAGAGACCAGGCAGTGTGCAGGGCTGGGGAAAAGTGCACCGAAGGGGAAGGAGTTTGTGACTGACCTCTTTCTCCATTCCCATTCTCTATGATCTGGGACAAGTTGTCAATAAGCAAATATCGTGCCTGGAATAAACTTCACCAGCTACGAGAATGCCACTGTGCAAAAAGCTGCATTTCTCTGTATTCTGAATATTCGATACTAAGCTGCCAATCAAGTTTAAACAACCCTTCCCCACACCCCACGGGATCATGCACAGAATTTGACCCAGCAGATCAAATTGAAGACCTCTCTTTCTTCAATTTTTAACTAAAGGCATACTGATTTGTAAGGTGACACAGATTTCAGGTGAAGTATTCTCTTTTGACATCTGACATCTGTACATGTATATGATGACTGCCACTGAAAGTCTAGTTTCCAAGATGATTATTAATTTTGTCAAAATATTTATTTAGGCAAGTCAAGAATGTATGCAGAAATTGATTATGAATCCTCAAAGTTAAGCTTAAGTATAAACTTTTAGAGCATAAAGGTGGTTTTGAGGAGTAGGAGATGATATCAAGGACTGAGTCCCAGTGCACAACTCAGCACCACAGGCTCTGGGGAGCACTGCTGGGTGTGTACCCCACCCCCCACCCCCCAAAAGGGAAAGTTTAAAAAAAATTAAAGTGTTTTGAAAAATCAAAATTATTTCATATTTGAAAAAGATTAGACAGTCAAACCTTTGGGTTCCTGAGACTATCTCAGAATTTGGAGGAAAGCCTGATCCTTGGAGGAGAAAATATCGTACCTGCCGTGTAGATGTCAAAGTAGGTGTGTTTATTGGCGATGTTTCCAGAAGCTTCCAAGCCTGGGCCTTTGGCAGTGACTTTACTGGCATCACCCTGAGCCTTGTCCACATTTACTTCAAATGGGCTCTTGGAGATGTGCTGTCCTGCAAAGAGGACTGTGACCTACAGATGACAGATAGGGTGACAGTCAGGTCTCCCTGCCCTGAGAGATCCCAGTCCTAATGCAGTGATCATTTTTCCTACTGGCTCCATTGTCCTGGGATTTCTTGCCTCTAGGAAACTAAAACTCAGATATGCTTAGCTTCTCTAGCAGAATATGAAATATATTTATACTGCACTGTCTAAACACTGGACACTTGAAGGGAGCTGCAGAGGGACAAGTTCTTCCTGTAATGCCTGATTCTCGGATTCCCAGCCCAGAGTCAGAGTAGTTTTCAAAGGACCAAGATTATTTTTAGACTAGTGGATTTGACACACAGCACAAATTTTCATCTAAAACTGAGTCAGATTTTTCATATTTTTTTTGGAGAGGGGTTTGGGACCATACCTGGCAGTGCTCATAGGACCACATGCCATGCTAGGGATTACTCCAGGGCTGACTGCATGTTGCAAGGTAAGCATCTTAACACACGTAGGTTTCTTATCTTCTAATTTTTAAAAGGGTCTGATGATTGAATCTCATATGAACTAAATAATTACATAATAAATGCTTCCTTTAAGGATTTCCCCCCTAATTCATGATGTTCTAAAAGATGTAAGCAATAACTATGACCATGACTCCATGTGAACTCAATACTGCCCAAGGTGGAGAGTAAGAGCTGTCTTTGTTTTGATCTTGGCGTGATACACAGAGGCAGGCCAGTGTGAGCTATTAAGGGCTTTATTCCAATGATGGGCCTAGATCCAGGCTCCTGGATCACCCCACTTTCCTGTAAGAGTAGACCCTGCCCTAAAGGTCAACGTGACTCCAATTCAAACAGAATTAAAAAATGTTGCTGACACAGGACCCAAAAGGAGAGAGAACAAAAGGGAATGCCCTGCCACAGAGGCAGGGTGGGATGGGGGGGATGGGGGGTGGGAGGGATGATGGGACCCGTGGTGGTGGAGGATGGGCGCTGGTGGAGGGATGGGTACTTGATCACTGTATAACTGAAACCCAAGCACAAAAATTTGTAAGTCTATAACTGTACCTCATGGTGTTTCACTAATAAAATAAATAAATGTTGCTGAGTATAAAAAAATTTTTTTTGGAAATGTGTTATACACACACACACACACACACACACATATTTATATCTGCTCCTTGACTTCAGGCCTCACTAACCCTCATCAGCTCAACAATAAAAGACTCAAGGAGGCATCAAAGGCAAAGAACCTATAACGAAGCATCTAAATTTTAGACACATAGCTACAATCATGTTGCAGTTATCTAGAGTTGAAAAATTCTTTGGATACTACAAAGCACTTGTTCTAATGTAATCAATTGACTATAAGAATTCAACCAATCCAGATAATTTAGCTAGCGTCTTATGCCTGGTAGACAGGGACCCCAAATTTTCTAAGAGTACAGATACTGTTATAATCAGAAACCACTCTCTGTAAGGGTTTTTTTTATGGGGTGGGGGGAGGAGAGAGTGAGAGAGCTATCTTTTTTTTTTTTTTTGCTTTTTGGGTCACACCCGGCGATGCTCAGGCGTTACTCCTGGCTCACTCAGGAGGCACTCCTGGCGGTGCTTGGGGGACCATATGGGATGCTGGGAATCGAACCTGTATCGGCCATGTTGACTGCATGCAAGGCAAACGCCCTACCTGCTGTGCTATCTCTCCAGCCCCGAGAGAGCTATCTTAAGCAGCTTTTTCCTGAGACAAGCCCCCCAAAAGAGTCCCAACAACAGCCATAACACCTCATCTTACCTTGTGTAGCCCAGTAACCTTGGGCAGATACTCCACGGTGTAGGTCTTGTTCTTGTCACTGTTGGGGGTCACTTGTGCCTAGGACAGAAGATGATCAACAGTTACTGAAGGGGTTGGGTATGAGCAGAGGGCACCCTGTGCCAACCAAGAGTGTGTAACAGCTGCTGGCTCCTGCCCCTCTATTCCTGCAGGACTCCCTAGGAGAAAAGGGAACTGAAGTTACTGAAACGCAAACGTGATATAAAGGTAAAAATGAAAGTAGAACTTTCTACTATCTGAGGAAAATTGAAATTCTTTAGATCTGTGAATGTTTATTTTGGAGCCACCCCCAGCTTACTTACTGTGCTCAGGGCTTACTCCTGGCTCAGTGCTCAGGATCAATCCTGGCAGTGCTCAAGAAACCACATGAGGTGAGAGACTGAATCCAGGTCAACAAAATGCAAGACAGTCATGCTACCGTTTGTACCATCTCTTTGGCCTGAGACTAGTGTGATCCATAGACTCTTGACCAGTTGGTTGGTAGGTTTAAAAAGGCTGAACACCTTGGTTTACCTATGTCTGGGTTCGAACTGCCCATCTATGAAACAGTATGTAGGACAAAGGCTGATCTACAGGCATAAAAGGGTAAATAATGCCACAGAGGCTGAGAGAACATGAAACCACTTAAAGAGCCAAAAATTAAAATAAGGGGCCAGTTAGGCATGGCCCCTACCCCAGTGGGAGGAACAGATAACATAGGCGCTAGGATATGAGGAATAAATATGGTTTTAAGAGGATAAGTGGACGGAGAGAACAAAGTGTGCAAAGGTTCTAAGGGGAGCACCAAAGATTGGGCCGTATGGGAAAAGAACAGGGCAAGGATTGCTTTGGTATTTCTGGCCACCAGTGCCTGAAATCTTACAAAGCCTTTCCTAAATCCAAGTGCTCCTTTATTCTATTAAACAGTGTGTCTCTGAGGATCAATTTGTCTTATTTTTTAAGGGACAGCCCTTGAACAAGTCAAGTCACATGCTGAAGTTCAGGATCATTTCAGTTAAAAAGTCATTTACGCTGAGAGTTTCCATGAGGAGAATTGGAGGCACAGTTCCTGGTTGTATCACAAGCCCCCAGAGCTCCAGGGGAGGCTGATGGGCGGGCGGGCAACCCTCCTCCACATACCTCCTCTTTGTTCCCCTCTGGGTCCTCCACAAACACCATCACATCTCCTTGGCCGGCACTGATGGTGTCCACCGTGAATTTGGCTGGCTGCTTCACCATGTTTCCCGTGGGTTCGATTCCTGTCAAGGGGTCACACACACACATTAAAAGCCTCCCCTGACCCCAATACAGGTGGCCTTCCACCTGGCTCCCTTGGGGAACTAAGACCGGGAGGGACCAATCTAGGGTCCTTGGTAAGACCAGGATATCCAACCTGTCAAAAAGTCTTCACTGTTTTTGTTATTTAAAACAACGTCTAATTGTGAAATACTCAGAGAGATTTAGTCAGAAGTTTATATAACTATGAAAAAGTCCCACCAACATAGCTATGGGGCTTGCCTGGGGGGATTGACAAGAGTGGAAAAACAGCTCATTTTTCACTGAAGAACATTTGGCATTACTTGTGATGTTCTTAAAATGTATTTAATTATTTTTTAATAAGGTTTTTAAATTTTAAGATAATTGAGAAAAAGTTAGAAATTACTTGCAGACATATTTTTAGTTCCCCAAATGCTTACACTGGGCAAACTCTATTTCAGTATCACAAGGGGTGACACTGAACTTGGCAGAAAGGATGCTAAACATTCCCACCCCTGGGGGCTCACCAGAAGTCCCTTCTTTTTTATAGCCAGCCCTATTTGCCTCTAATCCTACCATCTTCTTAGCCTTGATAACTAGTGCTCTCCATCTGTAAAATTTTATCATTTTTAGAATGATGACCTTTGACACTTGGCTTTTTCCACTAAACATAACTCTCACAGAGTCACCCAAGTATTACCTATCCGGATAGTTTGTTCTTTTCATTCCATAATATAACTGTACCAGTTTGCTTAACCATCAACCCATCAAAGGATATTTGAGTAGTTTCTTATTTTCTATTACTGATAAGGCTGCTATAAACATTTGTGTATAGGTTTGTGTTTGGACATACATTTTCAATACTCTGGATTAATGCCCAGAGAACTGCTGGGTAATTTCAAAATGTTTAAAAAAACATTTAGTTCTTTTAAAGACACAGCCACACAATACTCTGGTGTGCCTTAACAAGCCCACTGGTAATGCATGAGATCTGAATCAGTTTGTTCGCAAGCAGTCTTATTGGCGTTTAATGTTATCATTGCTTTTAACTTTAGGTACTCTGACAGATAAGTTGTGCTTTCGATTTTAATTTCTCTGAAGGCCAATGATAGTGAATATCTCTCGATGTGTTTCTTTGTCAGCGTGTATAAGCTGTTCTGTAAAACACCTGTTTATATCTTCTGTCCATTTTCTAAGTGCAAAACTTGGTTATTGTAATTTATGGGGTATATTAATTACTGACTTTTTGATAGCCCCATATATATTCCAGATCGGTGATTTTTCAGGCAGAGTCTCCTGCCCCCGTGCCTGGCTGTCCTCAACGGGACCCCTTGAAGGGGGGAGGGTTGAGTTTCCCTCCCCACCCCGAGCAGAGCCCCGGCAGCCGAAGACCTCCAGAACCAGCCACAGTCATGCTGAGACCACTTTCCACATGTTCGGACAAGCCTCATGCATGAAGGAACCGGCAGAGGAACCCGGGCATGCAGAGGAACCCGGGCATGCAAGTCCTGGGGCTGAGATCTCCAAGCCTGCTCGGATCAGGACTGGGCCTTCTCGGCCCAGATGCCCCATCTTCCAGTGGGTAGGCGTTGCACCCACCAGCTGCTGCCAGCACCAGGTGGTCCCATCAACGGCCAAGACCCAGAAACTGTGGAACCCGGCTCCCAGGGACACGCAGCCGCAAATGCAGCCATGCGACATCTTATTATCTCGTTTTTGCTTTGGAGAGTCCAGCAGGCTACCAGGAGTGTCCTGCCCGCACGGCAGAGTCTGGCAAACTACCAGTGTCGTACTCAATATGCCAAATACCAGTAACAATGATAGGTCTCATTCTCCTAGCCCTGAAAGAGCATTGAATATGGCTCTTTTAAAATCTCAGGGCTGGGAAGGAGACGTTACTGGTGCCTGCTCGAGGCAATCGACAAACAACAGGATGATTGTGACCCTGATCGTGATTTTCAACTTATTTATGTCTGAGGATCAGAGAAAATAGAAATATTTCACAGATCACTAAGGCAAAAAAAAATAATAATAACAACAACTGTTTGAGCTTGAGAAGATAGCTCAAGTAGTAGAGCACATGTCAAGTACTCAAAGTCTGAGTTTGATACCTGGCACTTCATGATATCCCTGAGACTACACGGTCCAAGTATATCAAAATGCCAGGCCTGTACCTTCAGCTCTAGCACTGAAGAAGTGGCTCATATACCCACTCCCATAACACAGGGGTGGGGAGGCTGGGGGCTATAGCCCATGGGTAGGTCACCTGCTGTGCAGGCATGAAGTTCTAAGTTTCAGCCCTGACAGTGTCACATGTCAAGTGTGAGGCTGCACATCCCCTAGTAGGTAAGCAAATTTTTTGCAAAAGGAAAACCTTTCTATTACTTCCTCTCATATATGACCATCTCAAAGAGCCAGCTTCTTTTTAAATGTGCCTATCTTAGTTCTCCTCGTAAAAAAAATATTCACACAAACGACTGAACAGCAACATGAAGTTCACTGAGAACACTAAACATCTGCCACATACATAAGCCTCACCACGTATTTCTCATCCAACTAAGGCTCTACCAGGGAAGTTTCCCTCTCAAGAAATGGTTTTGCTTCTTCTCTCTGTTCCACATGTGTGAAAGAACCTTTCTCTGTGTGAGGAGAAGGAGAGGTGGGCATTGGACGTCACACTCTCACTGGGTGTTGTGAACAGCCTGGAATTCAGAGTTGATTTCAAACTTCTGGAGCGATAGCACAGTGGGTAGGGCGTTCGCCTTACAAGCGGCCAACATGGCCGACCCGAGTTCGATTCCTCCGCCCCTCTCGGAGAGCCCGGCAAGCTACCGAGAGTATTCGATATGCCAGACACAGTAACAACAAAGTCTCCAATGGAGACGTTACTGGGCCCGCTCGAGCAAATCGACGATCAACGGGATGGCCTTTACCTTTACCTTACCTTTACCTTCAAACTTCACTGAGGATTTTCATGGCAACAATCATGACAACCTATAGCTCAGTAGAGTAAGGTGCTCCTGCGGGATCAGGCAGGGGATGGGCAGTTTCTGGAGGAACAACATGCTTTTGCAACAGCACCTGATTGATGTTCAGACCTATACTCAGTACTCCACTCTCTGACACACTCAGTCTAAACCCTGTCCTTGAACATACTCATCAGCAGCATCTAACAGCTTATAGCATATGACCTATCCTGGAGGGCCAAGGCTACTTAGAAGTTCCTGCCTAAGGTCTTCATCCTCATTTTACCTTGCAAAGCAAAGTAGGATGGCCTAGAGAGTATTAGCTGACTCATGACGCTGAAGTGCAGAACACCTTGATTTCTTTGTTTGGGCAACTGCTAGAAGCAACTTGTCACTAGTTCTCATCTTCATGAACTATTTTTTTTTCTTTTTGGGTCACATCCAGCGATGCTCAGGGGTTACTCCTGGCCCTGCACTCAGGAATTACTTCTGGTGGTGCTCGGGGGACCATATGGGATGCTGGAGATCGAACCCAGATCAGCCTCGTGCAAGGCAAATGCCCTACCCACTGTGCTATTGCCCCAGCCCCTCATCTTCATGGACTTTTTATCTGCTTGTGTAATCTTTCTCCCAAACCCAGTGTTTTTTAAGATCGCTATGCTTGGAACGCAAATAACAAAAAGTCTGGAAGATTTCAGAATGTCATTTGAGAGAATTTCAGTACATGCCACGCACAGGTCCATGGGGACAGCTCACGGTCAGTGACTCTAGTGTCACTAAACTACAAGTCTACCTTATGGGGATACCTAACATGGCTTTCTCTTCCACTTTGTGTGTGTATGTGTGTGTCTGTGTATGTGTGTGTGTGTGTGTTGCTATCACACATTCCCAAGTGTCAATGCATTAATTCTCCTATTTCTTCTAAACTTGAAGTACTTGAACTTGGCTTCCTTTTGGAGTCATCATTACTTTTTTCCTATTACTTTTGTTCTGAAAGAAGGTTTGGTATTTGACTGTTCTCTCTTTCTTCAGTCTCCATTTTGTAAAGTTTCAAATTTTTTAGCACATAGACACGAGAAATAACTTGCTTTCTGAATACCAGAGCACAATATTTGCTAACAACATGCATGGCACGGCGAATTGAAAAACATTTGGGGACAGCGCTGGATGTGCGTGACTAAAACGTGTTGCTGACAGGCGAGCTGACATCCTGGCAAGCCAGTGTGTGTTTATGCCCATCATCTCAGGAGTGCCGTGCCATCCCACTTTGCTACATGATCCAGGCATGCCATGTGTTAAGCAGCAATAGCTTTTTCTTGGACCGCCAGGAAATTTCTGTGGACTGGCAGTACTCCACCAGTGGGTGGCTGAAATCTTCTAGTCTAGAAATTACTTTTCTGTTGGTTCTGTGGCTTCCAATTATTTTTTTTTTCCCAATCTTCATCTTGTTTTTATCTTATCAATTGCAAAAGGCTATTACAAGTTTTTGAAAGTAAAACCCAGATCCCAGACACTATGAGCAGTAGTACTTTTGAGTCATGTTTGAGGTGGCACTGGGGTGGGTGGTGAGGCAGGAAGCTTGTCCTATCGATGGGACAGGGATTCTAGGAGCAGCTGCCTTGAGAGAAGGTCCTCGGGAACAAACACAGTCCAGACCTTGTGCCCCAGGCCAAGACTTGAAGCCACAGATCAGACTACTATTCTTTCAAGTTTTAACTTTGATGAAGTCCAACTTCTTGTTTTTCTCTTTATGGATTAGGGTTTCCATATCAAGTCTAAGATATCTATTTCCAGATACTCAAGATTCTCCTTCGTCTCCTTCCTGAAAGTGTGATAGTCATATGCTTTAGATTTAAGTGCCTATAAATTTTGAGTTAATTTATATAAAGAGGAAACTTAAGCTGATATTTTCATCCCCAGGCATTTGCTCAGGTACCATGAGTTGAGTTGAAAAGTTCTTCTGCTCCTTTGTCAAAAATTAGTTGTGATATATGTGGGGGAGGTGGAAGTATCTCTTTCTGGTTTGTCTATTCTGT